TCAGTGTATATTTTGTGATCGTGATATTATGTACATGTACACAGTGTATATTTTATGAGGTGATATTATGTCCAAATACACAGTGTATATTTTATGAGGTGATATTATGTACATGTATACAGTGTATATTTTGTGATCGTGATATTATGTACATGTATACAGTGTATATTTTGTGATCGTGATATTATGTACATGTATACAGTGTTTATTTTGTGATCGTGATATTATGTACATGTACACAGTGTATATTTTGTGATCGTGATATTATGTACATGTATTCAGTGTATATTTTGTGATCGTGATATTATGTACATGTATACAGTGTTTATTTTGTGATCGTGATATTATGTACATGTACACAGTGTATATTTTGTGATCGTGATATTATGTACATGTATTCAGTGTATATTTTGTGATCGTGATATTATGTACATGTATACAGTGTTTATTTTGTGATCGTGATATTATGTACATGTACACAGTGTATATTTTGTGATCGTGATATTATGTACATGTATTCAGTGTATATTTTGTGATCGTGATATTATGTACATGTATACAGTGTTTATTTTGTGATCGTGATATTATGTACATATACACAGTGTATATTTTGTGATCATGATATTATGTACATGTACACAGTGTATATTTTCTGATCATGATATTATGTACATGTACACAGTGTATATTTTCTGATCATGATATTATGTACATGTACACAGTGTATATTTTCTGATCATGATATTATGTACATGTACACAGTGTATATTTTCTGATCATGATATTATGTACATGTACACAGTGTATATTTTCTGATCATGATATTATGTACATGTACACAGTGTATATTTTCTGATCATGATATTATGTACATGTACACAGTGTATATTTTCTGATCATGATATTATGTACATGTACACAGTGTATATTTTCTGATCATGATATTATGTACATGTACACAGTGTATATTTTCTGATCATGATATTATGTACATGTACACAGTGTATATTTTCTGATCATGATATTATGTACATGTATACAGTGTATATTTTCTGATCATGATATTATGTACATGTATTATCAGTATACAGTGTATATTTTGTGATCGTGATATTATGTACATGTATACAGTGTATATTTTCTGATTGTGATATTATGTACATGTATACAGTGTTTATTTTGTGATCGTGATATTATGTACATATACACAGTGTATATTTTGTGATCGTGATATTATGTACATGTATTATCAGTATACAGTGTATATTTTGTGATCGTGATATTATGTACATGTTAGAAATATTACTATTATTCTATGTTAAACCCATAATGTCATCAGAGAATTCCAGTGTTGTATTCTTTTAATCTTTTACTTACCTAGTTAATTGTATGTGCTTTATTTACACACATTAAATAGTGATCTCTCCTAACAGTCCAGCACAATCCTTTGTTACCCCCTTGTCTGACAAAGTTCAGAAAGGTGAACATATATGTACAGTTATACCACACTGTAAGCACAATGACAATGCAGTTGTTTATATCTCTAAGTAGATCTTCTGGTTACTGTAATTATTGCTTAATGCTGAGAGCATATTATAGAGACCTCAACAGATCTAGAATGCATTACTGGTATAAGTACATTACAAGGCTTTAAGACAAACTGGTGAAAAACTTACTTTTGATTGGCAAAGATAAAAACGTAATGAAATTTCAGTAATAATAGAACCATGTTGTTCGAATTTAAAAGCTTCAGTTGTGTCTGTCGTGCACTCCTGTCAATGCTTCAATGACTGTAAATGCATAGTGCACTCTGTCATACTTTATTGACTCCCTGCAGTGCATCATGTCAAACTTCAACGAACCCATGCATTGGACTCTGTCAAACATCATGTCATGACTCTGGAGAATAAGTTCTTGGGTCATAGAATAAAAGAATCAAGATTTTCACCCTTTCACTTAATCTGTGCTTTGTGGGCATGGAGAGATAAACACAATCATGCTATAAGGATTAGTCCCAGAGCCTGGCCCTGTCCTTCTTTTAGTGAGAATATTTTGCCATGATTGCTTAAATGTCAAGCTGACTGATACTCTTAGCTTACCTCGAGCTCGTAGCCTCTTTATTTACAGAAATTGGTATAATTTGTTGCTAAAATATTTTCTATTCCTCTTTTGATGCTGTAACCTTTGACTTTGCAGTCTGCAAGCACTGCAGTGTGATTTGGTTGCTGGTCTGACTGTGGCTCTGACTGTGATACCCCAGGGGCTGGCCTACGCCAAGATAGCAAGATTACCCTCACAGGTATGTACCCAGGGGCTGGCCTACGCAAAGGTAGCAAGATTACCCTCACAGGTATGTACCCAGGGGCTGGCCTACGCCCAGATAGCAAGATTACCCTCACAGGTATGTCCCCAGGGGCTGGCCTACGCCAAGATAGCAAGATTGCCCTCACAGGTATGTACCCAGGGGCTGGCCTACGCCAAGATAGCAAGATTCCCCTCACAGGTATGTACCCAGGGGCTGGCCTACGCCAAGATAGCAAGATTCCCCTCACAGGTATGTACCCAGGGGCTGGCCTACGCCAAGATAGCAAGATTACCTTCACAGGTATGTACCCCAGGGGCTGGCCTACACCAAGATAGCAAGATTACCTTAACAGGTTTGTACCTCAGGGACAGGCCTACCCAAAGATATAATGACTACCCACACAGGTATGTACCCCAGGGGCAGGCCTACCCAAAGATATAACGACTACCCACACAGGTATGTACCCCAGGGGCAGGCCTACCCAAAGATATAACGACTACCTACACAGGTATGTACCCCAGGGGCAGGCCTACCCAAAGATATAACGACTACCCACACAGGTATGTACCCCAGGGGCAGGCCTACCCAAAGATATAACGACTACCCACACAGGTATGTACCCCAGGGGCAGGCCTACCCAAAGATATAACGACTACCCACACAGGTATGTACCCCAGGGGCAGGCCTACCCAAAGATATAACGACTACCCACACAGGTATGTACCCCAGGGGCAGGCCTACCCAAAGATATAACGACTACCCACACAGGTATGTACCCCAGGGGCAGGCCTACCCAAAGATATAACGACTACCCACACAGGTATGTACCCCAGGGGCAGGCCTACCCAAAGATATAACGACTACCCACACAGGTATGTACCCCAGGGGCAGGCCTACCCAAAGATATAACGACTACCCACACAGGTATGTACCCCAGGGGCAGGCCTACCCAAAGATATAACGACTACCCACACAGGTATGTACCCCAGGGGCAGGCCTACCCAAAGATATAATGACTACCCACACAGGTATGTACCCCAGGGGCAGGCCTACCCAAAGATATAACGACTACCCACACAGGTATGTACCCCAGGGGCAGGCCTACCCAAAGATATAACGACTACCCACACAGGTATGTACCCCAGGGGCAGGCCTACCCAAAGATATAACGACTACCCACACAGGTATGTACCCCAGGGGCAGGCCTACCCAAAGATATAACGACTACCCACACAGGTATGTACCCCAGGGGCAGGCCTACCCAAAGATATAACGACTACCCACACAGGTATGTACCCCAGGGGCAGGCCTACCCAAAGATATAACGACTACCCACACAGGTATGTACCCCAGGGGCAGGCCTACCCAAAGATATAACGACTACCCACACAGGTATGTACCCCAGGGGCAGGCCTACCCAAAGATATAACAACTACCCACACAGGTATGTACCCCAGGGGCAGGCCTACTCAAATATATAACGACTACCCACACAGGTATGTACCCCAGGGGCAGGCCTACCCAAAGATATTATGACTACCCTGATAAGACAGTAACTGTCGAAGCATTGTAGTTTTGGAATTTTATGACCAAAGATAAACTTTGATTTTAAACTGATCAGAAACGCACAGGGCCTTGTTTATTTTAAATCTGTGTGACAATATTTTTACCCCAGATTAACCTTATTTAAAAAAAATGTTTTTGTCATTCCTGTGGTTTTCTATGAAGGAGTCACGTAGAAAATGACCCCTGCGTACCTCTCTGTCAAGAGGAAGAAATGTTTAATTTGAGCGTTTGAGATCGAGAGCTGCCCTTTAAGCTATCTATATACTTGGGAGGTATTGTTTTATTAGAGGCTGATTTGAGAGCTGACCCTCGTCAGCTATCTTTGGGTACTCCATTGTCCTAGATATCATATCATCAAGTTTACGTTGTAAATTCAAAATATCATTCCTGTCTTTTCATCTTTTCTTATAACTTGTAGAACCAACTAGATCTTGTCTGATCTTTTGTGTTGTCACTTTTAAGAGTCTGTTACTCTGCCATTCTACATATAGAAATGAGATTTTAGTTTTGAATTTATTACCTCAATATTGGCATGGAATTTTGGAAATTTTGAGGACAAAGAGTTCACCTGCCCACAGGTAAGTTATTGTGGGTATTATTTACAGTTCAGGTCATTCCTGTTTACCCTGTTAGGTTTTCCACTCCCTTTCTTGTAAGAACTGCATAATTAACGTCGGCTAAAATGTGATATATCTAGGTCGTCCCTCTAAGTTGAAAGAGATAATTTTGTCCTTTTTTCCTTTAATTTAATTGGACAAACAATTTTGTCCTAAATGATATCTATTGAATTTAATTGGACAAACAATTTTGTCCTCAACAATATCTATTTAGTTTAATTGGACAGATAAGTTTCTTCCCACTTTGTCCCTGATTTACCGGGCATGGCCCTCAGTATCTCTGTGTTGTTTGGTGTAGTGTACTTGTCTACCACTGCCAATAACTGTAACTTTGCATTGGAAACTGTATTGTCTGGCATGAAGTTACATTTGATAATCTTTTCTTAAAAGAGAACCAGACCTTGAGGGAATTTTTAACAAAAACAAATAAGAAAGATAAAATTTAAAACAAAATCATCAACAAGAGTGGCTCCGAGTGTTTCCTTTAAATTCATTTATTTTACAACAATTATGAAACTTATATTAATCACTCTTGTTGGCCCGGATGGTCTTACTGTGGGAAAAACCCAGAGAACCTGGAGAAAACCAACATGGTAGGACAGGTGACCTCATACTATTTCACATCTGATCAGGGAATCAAACCCCAGCCGCCTTGGTGAAAGGCATGTGCGCTCAACTTGCTTTTCACCAAGGCGGCCGGGGTTTGATGGTGGATTGTAAAAACTTGTGTATTTGTCTGTATTCAGTATTTAAGGGTTATTGTTCTATTCTGTTTCAGTACGGCCTGTACTCAGCGTTTATGGGTTGTTTTGTGTATTTGTCTGTATTCAGTATTTAAGGGTTATTGTTGTATACTGTTTCAGTATGGCCTGTACTCAGCGTTTATGGGTTGTTTTGTGTATTTGTCTGTATTCAGTATTTAAGGGTTATTGTTGTATACTGTTTCAGTACGGCCTGTACTCAGCGTTTATGGGTTGTTTTGTGTATTTGTCTGTATTCAGTATTTAAGGGTTATTGTTGTATACTGTTTCAGTATGGCCTGTACTCAGCGTTTATGGGTTGTTTTGTGTATTTGTCTGTATTCAGTATTTAAGGGTTATTGTTGTATACTGTTTCAGTACGGCCTGTACTCAGCGTTTATGGGTTGTTTTGTGTATTTGTCTGTATTCAGTATTTAAGGGTTATTGTTGTATACTGTTTCAGTATGGCCTGTACTCAGCGTTTATGGGTTGTTTTGTGTATTTGTCTGTATTCAGTATTTAAGGGTTATTGTTGTATACTGTTTCAGTACGGCCTGTACTCAGCGTTTATGGGTTGTTTTGTGTATTTGTCTGTATTCAGTATTTAAGGGTTATTGTTGTATACTGTTTCAGTATGGCCTGTACTCAGCGTTTATGGGTTGTTTTGTGTATTTGTCTGTATTCAGTATTTAAGGGTTATTGTTGTATACTGTTTCAGTACGGCCTGTACTCAGCGTTTATGGGTTGTTTTGTGTATTTGTCTGTATTCAGTATTTAAGGGTTATTGTTGTATACTGTTTCAGTATGGCCTGTACTCAGCGTTTATGGGTTGTTTTGTGTATTTGTCTGTATTCAGTATTTAAGGGTTATTGTTGTATACTGTTTCAGTATGGCCTGTACTCTTTCGTTTATGGGTTGTTTTGTGTATTTGTCTGTATTCAGTATTTAAGGGTTATTGTTGTATTCTGTTTCAGTATGGCCTGTACTCAGCGTTTATGGGTTGTTTTGTGTACTGTTTCCTGGGGACAGCCAAAGACATCACCCTTGGACCCACAGCCATCATGTCCCTGATGACGGCGTCCTTTGCGATCTCACCAGTGGAGAATGATGCCACCTACGCCATCGTCCTCTGTCTCCTGTGTGGGTGTGTCCAGCTCCTCATGGGCATCCTAAACCTAGGTATGTCATTCATAGGTACACTTTCTTAGACCATTTCAGTCATTGCTATGAATGAAACATCATTTCATTCTAAGGACTAGCACATTCCTCTACAGGTATGATTAAATAAAGTGGAGAACAAAATCTTGAATTATAAGGATGTACAGTGTATTGTATTGAATCCTATTCCTAAATACTCTCACATATTATTAAATCATGTGTTCATAATAACAAACTAACACGGCCTCATTGAAGACACTTAATTCCTCCTGTAATTTGTTCTACAGTAAATTACTCCAAGAGCATCTTTCTTTCACTATCAAGAGAAGTTATTTGGTAGTAAAACTATAGAAACAACTTATCATTCTCTCTCGGTGATCAATGTAGAGTATTATAACATATCGGGACTGTGTAACAGCCAATTCGTTTTCCTTGGTAAGGGTTTTGAAAGAGAGGATAAAAAACAATTCCAAGGGTGGAAAGAATCAGTTGGCGGATGGTTTCTTCCCCTAAACCAATACCAAGGGTGGAAAGAACCAGTTAGCGGATGGTTTCTTCCCCTAAACCAATACCAATGGTGGAAAGACTCAGTTAGCGGATGGTTTCTTCCCCTAAAACAATACCAATGGCGGAAAGACTCGGTTAGTGGATGGTTTCTTCCCCTAAAACAATACCAATGGTGGAAAGACTCAGTTAGCGGATAGTTTCTTCCCCTAAAACAATACCAATGGTGGAAAGACTCGGTTAGCGGATGGTTTCTTTCCCTTAAACAATACCAAGGGTAGAAAGAACCAGTTAGCGGATGGTTTCTTCTCCTAAAACAATACCAATGGTGGAAAGACTCGTTAGAGGATGGTTTCTTCCCCTAAAACAATACCAATAGTGGAAAGACTCGGTTAGCGGATGGTTTCTTCCCCTTAAACAATACCAAGGGTGGAAAGACTCGGTTAGCGGATGGTTTCTTCCCCTAAAACAATACCAAGGGTAGAAAGAACCAGTTAGCGGATGGTTTCTTCCCCTAAACCAATACCAAGGGTGGAAAGAATCAGTTAGTGGATGGTTTCTTCCCCTAAAACAATACCAATGGTGCAAAGACTGAGTTAGTGGATGTTTTTTTCCCCTAAAACAATACCAAGGGTAGAAAGAACCAGTTAGCGGATGGTTTCTTCCCCTAAACCAATACCAAGTGTGGAAAGAACCAGTTAGCGGATGGTTTCTTCCCTTAAACCAATACCAAGTGTGGAAAGAACCAGTTAGCGGATGGTTTCTTCCCTTAAACCAATACCAAGTGTGGAAAGAACCAGTTAGCGGATGGTTTCTTCCTCTAAAACAATACCAAGGGTGGAAAGACTCGTTAGTGGATGGTTTCTTCCCCTAAAACAATACCAAGGGTGGAAAGACTCGGTTAGCGGATGGTTTCTTCCCCTAAAACAATACCAAGGGTGGAAAGAATCACTAGCTGAATTATTCCCCCAGGGAAAGAATTGGCTACTGATTCTTTACCTGGAGAAACAAGAATTAACTCTAGAAAGTTTGACTTTTGCAGATCCAGGGATCAAGCCATATTGGCTGAACCTAAATGGCTGACTTTTGCAGTATTTTTACATAAAAAGATTTTGTTTTTAAGGAAATGTAATAAAATTTAGTAAATGAAGGAAAGAAGCATGTAGACTTTTTGTTTTATTGCTGTTTATTTGACAGAAATATTAGGAACTACATTCTGAGCTCTGCCAACCATTACATTGGCCTTTTCAAGACAAAGAGCATTCGTTTATTACAGAATATTTTCTTGGACACCTGAGCTATCATAATCATATATCTATACGGGAAGCTAGGCCTGTTACCTATATTTCCTGGTATTAGTGATTCAGCAAGTTATGTGGTTATATATTAGTCCTAAAATATGTCCACAAATAGAGGTAACATTTACTTATAATAAATTATTTAACTTATATTATAACTAAATCAATTTTCCTTATCACTTTACATAAAGCATGTTCATTAAGTCTAGATAACAATTTTCTACAGAGAGAACTTCGGAAAGCATATAAAACTTAACTAAATAAAACTCATTTTACCTGGTCTATGTAGTGAATATTAACTAGTGAAGGGAGATAATCTTAAATTAAATGGATAGATTACCTCCCTTGCCTTATTAATAAATTTGTAATGTGAGAAAAATTGTATATACACTGTATATAGTTTTGTTGATTGTCTTGTTCTTTTGGCTTTTTGCAGATACAGTTTGTAAAATGAAATCAATTAAACTATGATATTTCTCAACACTGTGTAAACTATAAAATACAAAGTGGGTAAATAGCAACAATTACTCTTTATCCATTAGTGGGTGTTTTTTCACTGTCAAACCTCATTATTCTTTACAAAAAGTGGGTAAATAGCAACAATTACTCTTTATCCATAAGTGGGTGCTTTTTTCACTGTCAAACCTCATTATTTTTTACACTTTTGATTCCTGAGAAAAACAATCTTATTAACAAAACAATGAACATGGCTTGTTACCAACTATGTTGATGATGTGAAATACGGCTTTCCACCTTTGTCTGTCGTCTTTTGTTGTCCGTTGTCTTTTAACAATTACATACTTCTGTTGTGACTCTGGTACAAAAATTGACTCCAACCCAGCTATGGTATCTCTGTCAGCATGTCCAATAAATAGACTCAACTAAGATAATTGTAATGGCTCTTCAGTCTTCATGTAGTATTTACCTTGTTATGGTGAGGTGAGAAGCATTGAAGGCTGTGAGGTAAACCAGTTAAATGTAAAGTGACCAATATCATCATTCCTTACATTGAGGGTGTTACAGTGAAAGTATCCAATCCAAGGCATTACTTTTTAATTGTCTAACTCAAGCTCTGCCCAAGGTTCAGAGACAAGACAGTGGAAGATGGGGGCGTATATGTCCTTAGATCGAAATCTCCATGGGAGAAGATATTTACAGTTTCAGTTATTTTGACAAAATTAAAACAATGAGAAATTTGTGACACAGTAAATGTATTTATAGAAAATAAATCATTTAAAATATAATATTAAGGATACTCGTAACTCATATGTCAGGTATGTACTTTTAAAAAGTAATGACATGTAACTGTTAAGTTTATTCCCTGTCATGGTATTGAGATTTGTGTTATACATCGGTGTAAATCAGCATTTTTGTGATTATTTCAGGTATATTAGTCAACTTTATATCCTATCCTGTCATCAACGCCTTCACCTCGGCAGCGGCCATCACCATCGGCTTCGGCCAAGTCAAGGTAACAGTCATCAGACTTCACCCGGTCTTAAGCTTTTAAAAAGATTTTGATGACACTAGCAACAAAATGACGTGTACATTTACTTTATAATTTCTTAATTTGAAGGTAAACATAAAAGTTTAACAAAAAATACTCGCAAAATACACAATAGAAATGATAGGCAATATCTTATCTATATAAAGTATATTTTAACTTCCTGGAAATGTTGAAGCAGCAATTTGATATCTGCAAATTATGTATGATTGACAGGGATTATTAGGACTTACAGACATTCCGAGGGAGTTTCTACATATGGTGTATGAAACATTCAGAAAGATTCCAGAAACCAAGTAAGTTACATAGTCACTGTCTAGGTCACAATGAATATATTACATCAATGTTATTGTCTATTTCAGCTGAGATAGATATAAGGAACTTATAGATATGAGGAAGTAATATGTAAGATTTGGTTTGCTGGTTTTAAATAACCAAGAGGATATATCGGAAAAAAGATTGGACAGGCTGTAAATGTTAATGACAAAATTATAAAAAAAACTATTCTGTAATTATGCTATGCATTAAACCCTGATGAACTTGAATCCTGATATATATGGATGTGGAGAACACCTACTTCACTGAAGGAATGTGATTCTCCCAAGTTAGAATTGGCCTCAGGTGCCTAGTTCAATGTCCTGTAGTGATTCGTGATGACATGTTGATGGTTATATTACAGAGTCTGGGATATGACCATGGGGCTGGTGTGTCTTGTGCTCCTGTTCCTACTCAAGGTAAGTTCCTACTCAAGGTAAGTTCAAGGTAAGTTCCTACTCAAGGTAAGTTCCTACTCAAGGTAAATTCCTACCCAAGGTAAGTTCAAGGTAAGTTCCTACTCAAGGTAAATTCCTACCCAAGGTAAGTTCAAGGTAAGTTCCTACCCAAGGTAAGTTCCTACCCAAGGTAAGTTCCTACTCAAGGTAAGTTGTGGTTATGTTGGAATTATATTCCATACAGAATAATTGCATTATCCCACCATTCAGAACAACTCTAATGTAACCCAAATGTTACCCCATTGTTACCCCATTGTTACCCAAATGTTACCCCATTGTTACCCCATTGTTACCCCAATGTTACCCCAATGTTACCCCAATGTTACCCAAATGTTACCCCATTGTTACCAGATTGTTAACCAGTGCTACCAAAGTGTTATTCAAATTGTCAAACAATGGCATTTCTTTTCTAGTTATAATTAGTTTCTTAATGTCATACTCATTTTGCAGGTAGAGGTTTGTAGCAAAAAGGTAGCTTACATCGTTAGGATAATTTCTTTCTGTCAAACTTGTCTGTAAATTAATTCCTTTTCAATGTACAGTGTGCTTTCTCATACAAATTCTATTTATAACAAAATTTAACAAATTGTTGTTTGATTTCAACTATTTTTTTTAGTGGTAAATAATACAAATAAAATTGAAGATCAACATTAAAAGAGATTTTCTATATATATACCTGGTGTATTGATAAGTCTCATCTCTCTTTACAGAAAATGCGAGCAATCCAGTGGAACGACCCTCCAGATAGCCCTCCTCCAAACTTGTGTGTCCAGTTCTGTCGATACCTTATATGGCTGACAGGGACAGGTGAGTAAGAAGTCAGGCAAGGAGGCCGCGCTGACCGAGTGGGTAAGGCGTCTGATAATCTGCTACCACTAGCTCTCCACCACTTGGTCACAGGTTTGAGGCCTATGTGGGGCAGTCATCAGGTACTGGTCATAAGTCGATGTTTTTTCACCGGGAACTCCAGCTTTCATCCACCACAAAAACCCTGGCATGTCCTTCAATGACCATAGCTGTTAAAAGGAGGTAAAACACAAACAAACCAAACCAATAGTGGGGCTAACGTGACGTTCCATCACCTAGCTCATCTGTACAGTTCTGTCTCTACCTTGTATGGCTGACAGGGACAGGTGAGTCTATAGTCGGGCAAAGGTGATGTCCCACTCCCGACCTCATCTGTACAGTTCTGTCTCTACCTTGTATGGCTGACAGGTACAGGTGAGTCTATAGTCGGGCTAAGGTGATGTCCCACTGCCGACCTCATCTGTACAGTTCTGTCTCTACCTTGTATGTCTGACAGGGACAGGTGAGTCTATAGTCGGGCTAAAGGGATGTCCCACTGCCGACCTCATCTGTACAGTTCTGTCTCTTCCTTGTATGGCTGACAGGGACAGGTGAGTCAATAGTCGGGCTAAGGTGATGTCCCACTGCCGACCCCATCTGTACAGTTCTGTCTCTACCTTGTATGTCTGACAGGGACAGGTGAGTCTATAGTCGGGCTAAGGGGATGTCCCACTGCCGACCTCATCTGTACAGTTCTGTCATTTCCTTGCTATTATGTATGAATTGCTTGTAATGTATCTATGTGTTGTATCGTACTTGTATGCTTTAATGTGGCTGTTTTCGTTTACTTGTAGTCAGATCAATAGCTCTCTAGAGCTAATGTTTTACCGTTGTACACTTACCCAACTTTAAATAAAGATTATTGTATTGTATTATGTATTATTGTATTGTATTATTGTATTGTAAAGTGAAAGTGTCTGTTAGAGTGGTTATTCTGAAGACATATGCCAATGCTGTACTTATAGTATTTTACCTTCCACAACCTATCATTTTGAATGAGCCCTAAAATATGTCGATTACAAGCTGTGCCTAAGATGGTTTTGCTATCCTCTATTACAGCTGCGAATGCCATCATTGTAATCTCAGCTTCCGGAGTGGTAGCTATCCTCAGGAGCCAGAACATCAATGATGCCATCAGTATTACAGGCGATATACAGCAAGGGCTACCTTCCTTCAGCGCTCCCTCATTCTCCGTTCAGAATGGAAATGACACCATATCAGCTGGGACCATCTTGTCTGTAAGTGATTTTTTATTTTTTTTCATCATTATGGTTTGAAGAATCATGCAAAGAAAATTGTTATTTATTCTTACAAAAATAATTTAGTAAGGAAGTAACTGAGAAAAATTGATAATATTGGTGAGATACAACTCTTAAAACTTGTATTTCCAAGTTGTAATTTTACACTTTGTGAATTACAGGGTATCGGAGCAGGTATAGGTATCGTACCACTGTTAGGCCTGGTGGAACTCATTGCTATCGGAAAAGCCTTTGGTAAATATTGATATTTTTGTAATTGAACTTGGAATTTATATAACAAAATTATAACTGTTTCTTAAAAGAAACTTGTGCGTTTGAAAATGCCTGTTAACCATACAATATGGGGGTAGGCTGTTAAATAAAACATACGAAATGAAGAGGCATGGTTCTATGATGGGAAAAAACCCTAGAGGTGGTGGATTAGTGTACGTATCTCGGGAATTACTCTAAAATCTAATAGTCTAATAATTAATTTAACACTGCACAGAAGCAATTGTCTCAGCAAGGCCGAAAGCAATTTGCTTTTTATCCAAAGTGTAAAAATATGAATTTAAACTGTGATACTTTAGTCAAACTGTTTGATACATATATGTAAACAGTTTTATGCATCTGAAGTGTGGGGGTCGTAAAAAGAAATTAACATTTTGAAAAAATGTCATTTAGAGTTTTGTAAAAAGAACTTATGTGTCAAGAAATCCAAATATAATGTTGTGATTTATTTTAGGTAGATTTCCTTTTTTACATACCCTACATTATGATAAAATATTGGTGTGAGAACTGTATTCTAAAATCTGTGTTTAAATAAAATACCTTTAATATGTCTGAGGCTCTGCCAATAACTAAGCAAAGAATTTTGTATAATGCAAGGCAAGAATTGTTTGAAATACTAGACAGCTGTTCGAAATGTCATTTGTATAGACATATATACTATATAGTAAGTAATATATATTCACAGCATTACTTATGAAAATACATTCCCAAATGGAACAGAGTTACACCGACTAGAATACGCTTATCAGCACATACTCTACATATAGAAACTCTACATATAGAAACAGGGCGGTATCAAAATGTCGTTAGACAGGAACGTTTATGCAGAGTTTGCAGCTCTGAAGTTCCTTGTTATTATGTCCGCTTTACCAGAGATTAAGATAAAGATGTAAAAGAATGTATTACTGGAAAAAAACACCTATAAGATAATACAATTAACTAATGAAGTAAATTTATATACGATGTCACTCAATCAAGGAAGACCATGATGTAATGATACACTTTATGTACCTACCATGTATATTTTGTCACTTCTTTACTGCATTATTGCAGTGTCTGTCACTGTATTTAAATGTCATTTGTAAACTGGTAAGCTGAAGAGCTTAAAGTTAATACAAGACTTAGAATTTGTATCATTGCTAAACTGCCTTTTATTTATTCTTTTCAACAAAATATACCATGCTTCCTTTTTTTCTTTTTCTTTTCTTTTCTTTTTGTAGCTTGACAAAATAATACCAAAATGTTTTTTATTGTGTTGTAGCTCGGCAAAATGATTACAAAATCTATCCAAGCCAAGAATTAATAGCTGTTGGTAAGTGTTATCTTGTATAGTTAAAAACAGCTTTTTGTCTTTATTTTATTTCATTGTCTCAAATGTTTGTTTCAGTCTGTAAAGGTGGTTTCAGTGTTAGTAAACTAAAATAAAAACAATACAAGTCATAACCAATGGTATATTGAATTATTTCAGAATGACACAATAAAGACATATTGAGAGATTTTGCTCATTTTCGATGTTTTCTGTTCTGGACAGGTACGGCCAATATATTGAGCTCCTTCATATCCTCCTACCCAGTGACAGGAAGTTTCTCAAGGTAAGCTTTATATTATAATTCCATCCATTATCTTCTTTATGTATTGACCTTCCGACATTTGCATTAAAAAAAACTAACAAAAAAAACCACACAGGGCAGAATTCAAGAAGAGTTTGGTAGCAGCACTTTTAGCAAATGGTAATCAAAAGTTCTATAAATAAAGGGTCTGACCTTCCTTGATGCTGAAGGGTAGGTTAGATGATGTAAATTTGGTTGATTTTTTAAAAGGCACCTTCCCTAACTGTTTGGGGCTGACTCTCTTGGAAGCTGAGTCAAAAGGGTTCCATTCTGGGTGATTTACTTTTAATTGACACCTCCTACCAAGCTGCTATGTAGACTGAATCTGTTTGGGGCTCAGGGATGAGCAAAAAGGAGTCCATTCCTACCCAAACTTCTCACAGAATTCAACCAAATGGTTATACATGTATGACTTATATTCAAAGTCACAGGGGTCAAACTAGTTAGAGAAATCAAACAATTTCTTCTAAAGAACAGGAAGGCCTCAAGTGGTAATATTTGCCCAGTAAATTGCTGGCATAAAGTGCTTTAAAATTTGCAGACAAAAATTACCTTGACCTCTATTTAAGGTTATAGTGTTACTATACCTTGATCCTGTGTTAATGTAATCTGATCCAGTGTTACTATACTTTGATCCATTGCTACTGTAATCTGATCCATGGTTACTATACATTGATCCATAGTTACTGTAATCTGATCCAGTGTTACTGTAATCTGACCCAGTGTTACTATACTTTGATCCTGTGTTACTGTAATCTGATCCAGTGTTACTATACTTTGATCCTGTGTTACTGTAATCTGATCCAGTGTTACTATATTTTTATCCCATGTTGCTGTAATCTGATTCAGTGTTTCTGTAATCTGATCCAGTGCTACTATAATATGATCCAGTGTTACTGTAATCTGATCCAGTGTTACTATACCTTGATCCTGTGTTACTGTTATCTGATCCAGTGTTACTATATTTGTATCCCATGTTGCTGTAATCTGATCCAGTGTTACTATTCTTTGATCCTGTGTTGCTGTAATCTGATCCAGTGTTACTGTAATCTGATCCAGTGTCACTGTAATCTGATCCAGTGTTACTATACCTTGATCCTGGGTTACTGTTATCTGATCCAGTGTTACTATATTTGTATCCCATGTTGCTGTAATCTGATCCAGTGTTACTATTCTTTGATCCTGTGTTGCTGTAATCTGATCCAGTGTTACTATAATATGATCAGTGTTACTATACTTTGATCCAGTGTTACTATAATATGATCCAGTGTTACTGTAATCTGATCTGTGTTACTGTTATCTGATCCAGTGTTCTTTGATCCAGTGTTACTATACTATGATCCTGTGTTACTGTAATCTGATCCAGTGTTACTGTAATCTGACCCAGTGTTACTGTACTCTGATCCAGTGTTACTATATTTTGACCCTGTGTTACTATAATATGATCCAGTGTTACTATACTATGATCCAGTGTTACTATAATATGATCAGTGTTACTATACTTTGATCCAGTGTTACTGTAATCTAATCCAGTGTTACTGTTATCTGATCCAGGGTTACTGTTATCTGATCCAGTGTTACTGTAATCTGATCCAGAGTTACTGTACTCTGATCCAGTGTTACTGTTATCTGATCCAGGGTTACTGTTATCTGATCCAGTGTTACTGTAATCAAAGTATAGTAACACTATATCAGATTACAGTAACACTAGATCAGATAACAGTAACACTGGATCAGATTACAGTAACACAGGATCATAGGATCATATTATAGTAACACTGGATCAGATTACAGTAACACAGGATCAAAGTATAGTAACACTGGATCAGAGTGCAGTAACACTGGGTCAGATTACAGTAATCTGATCCAGTGTTACTGTAATCTGACACAGTGTTACTGTACTCTGATCCAGTGTTCCTATATTTTGACCCTGTGTTACTATAATATGATCCAGTGTTACTGTAATCTGACCCAGTGTTACTGTAATCTGATCCAGTGTTGTGTTACTGTAATCTGATCCAGTGTTACTATAATATGATCCGGTGTTACTATAATATGATCCAGTGTTACTATACTATGATCCACTGTTACTATACTTTGATCCAGTGTTACTATACTATGATCCAGTGTTACTATAATATGATCCGGTGTTACTATAATATGATCCAGTGTTACTGTAATCTGACCCAGTGTTACTGTACTCTAATCCAGTGTTACTATACTTTGATCCTGTTTTACTATAATATGATCCAGTGTTACTACAATATGATCCAGTGTTACTGTAATCTGACCCAGTGTTACTGTACTCTAATCCAGTGTTACTATACTTTGATCCTGTTTTACTATAATATGATCCAGTGTTACTATACTATGATCCTGTGTTTCTATACTTTGATCCAGTGTTACTGTAATCTAATCCAGTGTTACTATAATATGATCCAGTGTTACTATACTTTGATCCTGTGTTACTGTAATCTGATCCAGTGTTACTATAATATGATCCGGTGTTACTATAATATGATCCAGTGTTACTATACTATGATCCAGTGTTACTATAATATGATCCGGTGTTACTATAATATGATCCAGTGTTACTATACTATGATCCTGTGTTTCTATACTTTGATCCAGTGTTACTGTAATCTGATCCACTGTTACTGTAATCTGATCCAGTGTTACTGTTATCTGATCCAGTGTTACTGTAATCTGATATAGTGTTACTATACTTTGATTCTGTGTTGCTTTAATCCATCTGATCCAGTGTTACTGTACTTTGATTCAGTGTTACTGTAATCTGATCCAGTGTTACTATAATATGATCCAGTGTTACTATAATATGATCCAGTGTTACTGTACTTTGATCATGTATTGCTGTAATCTGATCCAGTGTTATTCTTTTACAGAACTGCTGTCAACTCTCAGAGTGGTGTGAAAACACCTGCATCAGGTCTAATTACAGGTGAGATTCTATGTACTAAATTGACTTAAAGTTAACCTACTACCTTAGTGTTATATCAGTGAACAGACTACCTTAGTGTTATGTCAGTGAACAGACTACCTTAGTGTTATGTCAGTGAACAGACTTTATTAGTGTTATGTCAGTGATCAGACTACCCTAGTGTTATGTCAGTGATCAGACTACCTTAGTGTTATGTCAGTGAACAGACTACCTTAGTGTTATGTCAGTGATCAGACTACCTTTGTGTTATGTCAGTGAACAAACTACCTTAGTGTTATGTCAGTGATCAGACTACCTTAGTGTTATGTCAGTGATCAGACTACCTTAGTGTTATGTCAGTGATCAGACTACCTTAGTGTTATGTCAGTGAACAGACTACCTTAGTGTTATGTCAGTGAACAGACTACCTTAGTGTTATGTCAGTGAACAGACTACATTAGTGTTATGTTAGTGATCAGACTACCTTAGTGTTATGTCAGTGAACAGACTACCTTAGTGTTATGTCAGTGAACAGACTACCTTAGTGTTATGTCAGTGAACAGACTACCTTAGTGTTATGTCAGTGAACAGACTACCTTAGTGTTATGTCAGTGAACAGACTACCTTAGTGTTATGTCAGTGAACAGACTACCTTAGTGTTATGTCAGTGAACAGACTACCTTAGTGTTATGTCAGTGAACAGACTACCTTAGTGTTATGTCAGTGAACAGACTACCTTAGTGTTATGTCAGTGAACAGACTACCTTAGTGTTATGTCAGTGAACAGACTACCTTAGTGTTATGTCAGTGAACAGACTACCTTAGTGTTATGTCAGTGAACAGACTACCTTAGTGTTATGTCAGTGAACAGACTACCTTAGTGTTATGTCAGTGAACAGACTACCTTAGTGTTATGTCAGTGAACAGACTACCTTAGTGTTATGTCAGTGAACAGACTACATTAGTGTTATGTCAGTGATCAGACTACCTTAGTGTTATGTCAGTGAACAGACTACCTTTGTGTTATGTCAGTGATCAGACTACCTTAGTGTTATGTCAGTGAACAGACTACCTTAGTGTTATGTCAGTGAACAGACTACCTTAGTGTTATGTCAGTGAACAGACTACCTTAGTGTTATGTCAGTGAACAGACTACCTTAGTGTTATGTCAGTGAACAGACTACCCTAGTGTTATGTCAGTGATCAGATTACCTTAGTGTTATGTCAGTGATCTACATGATAACTAAACTGTACTTTACATTTAGTGTGTTGCAATTACTGTAATTGGTCAACATGAAAGTTTCCTTGTCAGAAGTATCAGTGATTGTTAAACAAAGTAAAATGCATTACTGTTTAATTGGTGTACATCTTACAGGTGTGTAGTAAGTCTTTATAAAATCAAACGTTACTGTAATTGGTTTAAAAACAAGTGTCCTTGTCCTGGCTCAAGTGAACTATTGCGATCCTTTTTTATTCATCGTTGTTCAGTAACATTTCACATTTTCAACATAAACTGAAATAATATACAGAAGAGATATAATTGATACCTACAGGAATTTTACTGATATCCTCACAATGACAACCACAGCTGCCATTCTGAAAAACTATTTCAATCTCAAACTCTAACAGGCTGATTTAACTGAAACATGGTAGGAATGAATTACTTAGGATTCTGACAAAGTGTTGTTCTGACAAAGTGTTGTTTATTTGCGGGTTATCAGAAATCCATTATGACCACCAAAGCTACATTTTTGAAAAGATATTTCAAACTTAAACTTAAGCTCTAATGGGTCCCTATGGAGGGCCAAATAGTATTGCTCACATGGAAATAATACTTTTGCATATCTTTATTATAGAAAAACATTATGAAACAAATTTAAAGCATGATTATTTATACCTATGGGCCTTTTTATGTCCCCGCCATAAAATGGGGGGGGAGGGGGGGCATATAGTGTTGCCCATATCCCTCCCGTCTTGTCCTGCTGCATCCCATCCCGTCCCGCCACGTCCTGTGAAACATCAAACACTGAAACTAATATCACATGGTGACGGGGGCATTCATGTCTTACAGACATTTTCTAGTCTTACAGGAGCTGGGATTGGTCCTTTGTTACAGATGCTGTAATTGGTCTCTTGTTACAAGTGCTTTGATTGGTCCATATAAACTCTTTTATTACAGGTGCTGTGATACTGTTATCCCTACAGTTCCTCACTCCACTCTTCTTCTATATTCCGAAGGCAGCACTGTCAGCGGTCATCATCTCAGCCGTCATACAGATGGTCGACTACAAAATTGTCAAGAAACTTTGGAAGGCAAATAGTATGTCAACTTTTATTTGAGTTTTTAATTGAAAAAGAGGAAGAGTTTCAAGCTATTCCATTAAAATGTATTCTTTATTTGTTGTTAGTCGTGCCTTGTACATGTTGCTATCATGTTGCTATGGCACCAATTCAATCAGACTATAAAGTCAAGGAAACAATTTTTGAATGGTGTTGGTTCCAATACAATGACGTTAACTCCCTTTTTATAGGTTGTACTTAACTGTTTTTATTACTTATAGAGATTGACCTGATCCCTCTGTTTGTATTACTTATAGAGATTGACCTGATCCGTCTGTTTGTATTACTTATAGAGATTGACCTGATCCCCCTGTTTGTATTACTTATAGAGATTGACCTGATCCCTCTGTTTGTATTACTTATAGAGATTGACCTGATCCCCATGTTTGTATTACTTATAGAGATTGACCTGATCCCCCTGTTTGTATTACTTATAGAGATTGAGCTGATCCCTCTGTTTGTATTACTTATAGAGATTGGCCTGATCCCTCTGTTTGTATTACTTATAGAGATTGGCCTGATCCCTCTGTTTGTATTACTTATAGAGATAGACCTGATCCGTCTGTTTGTATTACTTATAGAGATTGACCTGATCCTTCTGTTTGGATTACTTATAGAGATTGACCTGATCCTTCTGTTTGGATTACTTATAGAGATTGACCTGATCCTTCTGTTTGTATTACTTATATAGATTGACCTGATCCTACTGTTTGTATTACTTATAGAGATTGACCTGATCCGTCTGTTTGTTTTACTTATAGAGATTGACCTGATCCCCCTGTTTGTATTACTTATAGAGATTGAGCTGATCCCTCTGTTTGTATTACTTATAGAGATTGGCCTGATCCCTCTGTTTGTATTACTTATAGAGATAGACGTGATCCTTCTGTTTGTATTACTTATAGAGATTGAACAGATCCTTCTGTTTGTATTACTTATAGAGATTGAACAGATCCTTCTGTTTGTATTACTTATAGAGATTGAACAGATCCTTCTATTTGTATTACTTATAGAGATTGACCTGATCCCTTTGTTTGTATTACTTATAGAGATTGACCTGATCCCCATGTTTGTATTACTTATAGAGATTGACCTGATCCCTCTGTTTGTATATGTATTACTTATAGAGATTGACCTGATCCTTCTGTTTGGATTACTTATAGAGATTGACCTGATCCTTCTGTTTGGATTACTTATAGAGATTGACCTGATCCTTCTGTTTGGATTACTTATAGAGATTGACCTGATCCTTCTGTTTGGATTACTTATAGAGATTGACCTGATCCTTCTGTTTGGATTACTTATAGAGATTGACCTGATCCTTCTGTTTGGATTACTTATAGAGATTGACCTGATCCTTCTGTTTGTATATGTATTACTTATAGAGATTGAACAGATCCTTCTGTTTGTATTACTTATAGAGATTGACCTGATCCCTCTGTTTGTGACCTTTTTGTCGTCTTTGGGTGTGGGCATTGAGGTGAGTACAACCAGTAACAATCAAGTTTAATTCTATGTACATAGTCTTCTCTTCATAAGACAGGTATGAGGTATGAGGTTACATACAGTGGCATTCTGGGAAACTTCACACATTCAGTATGATACTAGCTAATTTTACCTGAGCAGCATTCAGTATGATACTAGCTAATTTTACCTGAGCAGCATTCAGTATGATACTTTTATAGCTCATTTTACCTGAGCAGCATTCAGTATGATACTAGCTCATTTTACCTGAGCAGCATTAATATATTCAGTATGATACTAGCTAATTTTACCTGAGCAGCATTCAGTATGATACTAGCTAATTTTACTTGAGCAGCATTCAGTAGCATACTAGCTAATTTTAACTGAGCAGCATTCAGAAGGATACTAGCTAATTTTACTTGAGCAGCATTCAGTAGCATACTAGCTAATTTTACTTGAGCAGCATTCAGTAGCATACTAGCTAATTTTATCTGAGCAGCATTCAGTAGCATACTAGCTAATTTTTCCTGAGCAGCTTTCATTAGAGTATGATACTAGCTAATTTTACCTGAGCAGCATTCAGTAGGATACTAGCTAATTTTACCTGAGCAGCATTCATTACAGTATGATACTAGCTAATTTTACCTGAGCAGCATTCATTAGAGTATGATACTAGCTAATTTACCTGAGACTGAGCCATCTGAATTAGACTTCAGATGATTACCATAATAAAGTAAAGCTTAATAAGACTGCTGACGAGTACCATGATTTAGTACAGAAAATCTGCAGCTTTGAATGAGATAAATAGAGTAGAAAGGAGTATTCTGTCCAATCAGAGCACTGCGAATTGTTATCAGACACGTTACATGTCAATTCAGAACACTGGAAAGTGTTAGGGGACTGTGGTCTTATTGTGCTGTTGAATGATGTGTTAGAAATGAAGGCAACATTTTGATTTCATCTCATGATAACCACTATGAGACTGTAGTTCACTCAGTAGAAGGTAGTAATGGTGCTAGTACATTACACAACATAAACTGTCAGCACTAACAGAGGCCATGTGAGCTGATCATTGTGATCACTTCTGATCAATGTGAGTGTCTCTGATCAATGCGAGCGTCTCTGATCAATGTGAGCGTCTCTGATCAATGTGAGTGTTTCTGATCAATGTGAGTGTTTCTGATCAATGTGAGCGTCTCTGATCAATGCGAGCGTCTCTGATCAATGTGAGTGTCTCTGATCCATGTGAGTGTTTCTGATCAATGTGAGTGTCTCTGATCAATGTGAGCGTCTCTGATCAATGTTAGCGTCTCTGATCCATGTGAGTGTCTCTGATCAATGTGATCACTGTTGATAAATGTGAGCATCTCTAGAGGCTAAAAAGTAGCAAAAGTGGTCATGACCAGTACCTTTTAAGGATTGGATACATATATATGCACTTATCAAATCGGCATTTGAGATCCTGTGATATTATACTGGTGTCATATAATTTCACACATAAGGAGCTACTGCTTATAGATAGATTTCTATACTTCAGTCAGATTTGTTTTCTGCTGTTTAGAAGTTATAACTTAGCTGCTGTGGTAATATATATATGATGGTACTCTTTTGTAGTATGGAATCATCATCGGTGTGGGTGTTGACCTCCTGACCTTGCTGTACCCTATGGCTAGACCAAAGATCAATGTGAGTGTTTTGTTTGGATCCTTTGAGAAATCAGCATTCTATGGTTATTTGAACAAGTTTGTGATCAGAACTACAGATAACTACAGATAACAAAATTACATGCACCCTGAATTATGTGTGTAGAATTTTAAACCCTTTTTTGTGATAGAGTAGTTGTTAAACTGAAAATGTGTACTCAAGATTATCCTATTAACAGATACTGTATGAAGTGAAATCACTGTATTACATTAAGGTTAATAGAAAATCAAATTGATGTTGAATACTCTTACTGACCTCATCAGGTGACATTAATGTTTTGGTTATGTGACAGGTGTCAGACGTGGGCGTGGTGGTACTGAAGATGGACCAGGGGGTACGCTTCCCAGCCGTCGACTATATACAGAGCAGAGTTACAGAGGCAGCTACAGTAAAAGGTCAGAATTCCTGTTGTCTGTGATCAGTTTTAACTACAGACATTGCTACAGCTGACTTGAGTCAGTACAATCAATGGCTATTTTGTCTTATCTCCCTTTTAAGTAATGACAAATGTCAAATGATACAACTGGGAGCAATCTAACTATCAATCAATCACATGACACATGTATTTTGAAAATAATTTAGATGTCCTCCATCACAGATTTTTTGGGTTTCTTTTCAGGTGATAAACTAAGATCAGTTGTCGTGGACTGTACTTTTGTAACTGCAACGGATTATAGCTCTATGCAGGTAAGTTATATCACATAGACACGTAGAACTGCAACATACTATAGCTTTGTACCTTTAAACAGGCTATAGCTCTTTGCAGGTAAGTAATATCACATAAACACATAGAACTGCAACAGACCATAGCTCTGTATGATATTAACAGGAAAAGACTATAGCTCTGTTTATTATAAAAACAATACGATAAAATGTCCTATTTCTCTAAAATCACCTAAATCTCTCCACCTGAGGGCTATGCCCTCCCCAAATTAGGACTACTCCCTGCAAGAAAGGTCTACTCCCTGACAGAAAGAGGACTACTCCCTCATGAATATTTGTAGGCGGAGCTTATACAATATCAACCAATGAAAACATTTGGTGGGCGTGGCCAAGAACTGACGCAGGCGACGTCTGAATTCAGAACCAAACGACAACAGCGAAAATGGCCACCGATGTAGGTGGTCTTGATGATCATACTGATGAGGAATTACAGCATAGTATGGACGCTAACAGTACTGTATAGCTTAAGTACAAAAGCTGTTAAGTCTGCAGTGAATTTACTTCAAAACTTATTTAACTGAACGTATGCCGGAGTGATGGACAATAAGGGCAGAGCGTTTTATGCAGAACTCAAAAAGGTTGATGGGACTAAAAAGGCTAGGAAGTCAATACTGACCATTAGACACTGTCTACAAAAACACTTCTTGAATGCTAGAAATGAAGATATCATCAACGATGCTGCATACAGCATTTTCAATTGTATTTTTTTTCTCTCTTTGAACTTGTTTAAAGAAATGAGTTAATGAATTCATTTGTCAAATTGCCTTGATTTGTATCGTTATAATAAAACAGTTATAGAATGGGTATTTCTGGAAATAGTAAATTCATTGTCACCCTTGGTGAAAAACAATTCCCCTCGGCGGCTTTGCCGCCTCTGGAAATAGTTTTTCACCTCAGGTGACCATAAATTTACTATTCCCCTCATACCCATTCTATAACTGTATAATATATTAACATGTAACTCTGTACATGTAGGATATATGACATATTGTATATAAGTGGAACAGTCCATAACTCTGTACATGTAGAATATATATGACATATACAGTATAAGTGGAACAGTCCATAACTCTGTACATGTAGGATATATGACATAAACAAGTCCATAACTCTTTATATGTAGGATATATTACATATTCAGTATAAGTGGAACAGTCCATAACTCTGTACATGTAGGATATATGACATATACAGTATAAGTGGAACAGTCCATAACTCTTTATATGTAAATGTAGCGGAACTGGACTGGGCGACCAGGTGGCTCAATAGGTAGTCTGTCTGGAATGTTGAGGGTCCAGGGTTTGAATCCAGTATAGCTGTTGCATTTGTCTTTCTCCTGTTACATAATACTTAACTGGAACACAACAATCTATAGATTCAGAAATAGTATGAGAAACAATCAAAGTTTTTCTTGTCATATCCTAATATCAGAGAACTATTGTAGGGAAATAATGAATACTGGTGTTGAATAACAAATCGCTGTCTGACAGAAAGTAAGTTGTTTATAGATTGAAAATCAGGGAGGGGTTTCCAGATTCAGTAAAATCAGAATGAAACAGGTTAATCAAAGCATACAAAAAATCACAAATTAATTGCCCTAAGCATGACCCAGTTGCCAAAATAAATTCTTTCGATTTGTAGACATTGTATACAGTATAATAACAACTGTCTTCTAAACCATGGGAAACATTGTATGTATTTAATCATGCATGTAACCCCTAACAAAACTGTGCACCTCAAAGAACATGCTAAATGGTCCTAATTCCATGTTAACATACCATGTCTGGGGGTTTAACATAAAGGTTTGTTGACATAATTATTATGAAGTCATAAGTTGGTCATGTTAATTTAGGTGCATGTGTTAATGAACCTTTGAGATAATAATATTTTTTGGCAAAAAGGCCAAGTTAGCTTGTCTGGTGGTGCAGCATTCGTCATCTATTTGTCGTCCTTCCATCAAGCATAATTTCTTTTACTTACTTTGTAAGATGACTTCTTATGAACAACTAAAAGCCCTAGTGTGATGAAACTTGGCCTGTAGTAATCTTGGATAAAGTTTGTTTCAATGAATGACCTTGACCCACTCTTAAGATCACAGGGTCAAATTTCTGAAGACATTTGAAGGACCGTTCTGAATAACCAAGAGGCATAGGGTGATGGTATTTGGTCAGAAGCATGCTGGGATGAAGTGCTGTCACCTTTGTTCAAATTAATGACCCTGAACGACCTTTAAAGTCGCAGGGGTCAAATGATTAAAATTTTGAATAATTCTTCTGAGTTATTCTGATGTCTACTGTCATGATGTTTGCCCTGCAGCTTAGCAGTGTGAAGTAGGGAATATAAATGAATAATCTAGTTAAATTTGAAGGTCACATTAGAAAATAGGTTAAAAATCTTGAAACAAAGTGTGAAGTAATAAAACCTTCCATCAAATATCCATAAGTTTTAATCTAATGATATTAAGCATATCTGAAAAAGATATTTGACCTTGAAACTGTTTGATTGTCACAGATGTGAGACAAGTTATACAGGTGAGCAATACGTACCCATTTGGCCTCTTGTTTGGTGTTTTCATACCAGGTACTTTTTACATGGATTTCCTTTGTTTTAGGGCTTCATTGAGTTGATTGCAGAGTTCAAAAGGAAAGGAGCACGCATTGTTTTTGCATGTCTTAATGTAAGTATAACACTGTTTGAATCAGACAAAAGGTATTGGTATTAGCATGTCATAGGGATGGGTATTAGATAACAATTTGAATTCAGTGACAGAGGTCATTTAGCAGCTACGGATTAAAAGGGTGTCACCAATACATGTAAAGGTATCTGGTTACCTGGTCAACATGTGGGTATTCTCCTGTGGTTCCTACCAAACTTATACCCCCTTGCACACTTCCAACTAAGCTAACAAGAGTGATTAATAGCAGTTGACACTTGTTTTATACCTGGTAATTGTTTTAAAATAAAAGTTTCTTTTCAAACAAAAAGTTGATAAGAAAAATAAAAATGTGATATAACTTATATGGGATTCCTATAAGAGGATTTTATATTCAAGAACATGATTGATTCAGTGTTGTATTCTGTTATATATAACTTACTGGTGGTAATCAGTAGATACCACCAGCCATGGTTAATTATTATGTCAATAGCTGGTATTTCATCAGGATATTTTTGATGATAATATTGTAATCTTAATTAACAAAAAGTATGTTTTTGTTTCCACTTACAGGCCAAAGTATTGAAAAGTTTACAGGACAAAAACATCCCCGACCTTTTGGTCTGCTCCACTGTGGATGAAGGATGTAAACTCCTCCAAGGTAACTTTCACTAGTTACTGCACTGATATATTTGATCATCCATGATCACTAGTTACTGCACTGATAGATTTGATCATCCATGATCACTAGTCACTGCACTGATAGATCTGATCATCCATGATCACTTGTTACTGCACTGATAGATTTGATCATCCAAGATCACTAGTTACTGCACTGATAGATTTGATCATCTATGATCACTTGTTACTGCACTGATAGATTTGATAATCCATGATCACTAGTTACTGCACTGATAGATTCGATCATCCATGATCACTAGTTACTGCACTGATAGATATGATCATCCATGATCACTAGTTACTGCACTGATATATTTGATCATGGATGATCACTAGTTACTGCACTGATAGATTTGATCATCCTTGATCACTAGTTACTGCACTGATATATTTGATCATGGATGATCACTAGTTACTGCACTGATAGATTTGATCATCCATTATCACTAGTTACTGCACTGATAGATTTGATCATCCATTATCACTAGTTACTGCACTGATAGATTTGATCATCTATGATCACTAGTTACTGCACTGATAGATCTGATCATCCATGATCACTAGTTACTTCACTGATAGATCTGATCATCCATGATCACTAGTTACTGCACTGGTAGATTTGATCATCCATGATCACTAGTTACTGCACTGATGGATCTGATCATCCATGATCACTTGTTACTGCACTGATAGATTTGATCATCTATGATCACTTGTTACTGCACTGATAGATTTGATCATCCAAGATCACTAGTTACTGCACTGATAGATTTGATCATCCATGATCACTAGTCACTGCACTGATAGATCTGATCATCCATGATCACTAGTTACTGCACTGATGGATCTGATCATCCATGATCACTTGTTACTGCACTGATAGATTTGATCATCCAAGATCACTAGTTACTGCACTGATAGATTTGATCATCTATGATCACTTGTTACTGCACTGATAGATTTGATCATCCATGATCACTTGTTACTGCACTGATAGATTTGATCATCCATGATCACTAGTTACTTCACTGATAGATCTGATCATACATGATCACTAGTTACTGCACTGATAGATTTGATCATCCTTGATCACTAGTTACTGCACTGATATATTTGATCATGGATGATCACTAGTTACTGCACTGATAGATTTGATCATCCATGATCAACGTTATCAGCTTCTAGTGTGTATAAATACATGTACCATATTCTAATACCTACCACATCTGTTTTCAATCCTCACAAACTGATTCATTTACTGTTCTGTATTATTCGTCTACACAATAAACTTATTCGTCTGCTGTATTCACTAGTTTGGGTGGTCGGATAGTGGCATGATGTATAGCTGTAGTGCACTTGCCTTTTACCAATACAGCCAGGGTTTAATTTACTAGCTAACAGAAATTATTAATTAATAAGTCACATTTCATAATTGTAGTAAACAAAGTTTGATATACTACTTTTTACCAAATTATTTTCAGTGCCCTGCCTTCGTAAGGAACCATAACTAATAATAATGCGCTCTGTCATCTCTCAGTATTAGAGGGAACAGGTACAAAAACAAAAAGGAGGCAACAAACGTAGGATTAGTGGACCCCAACTAAGGCTTCTCTTTCTTCCTCTCTTTGTTTCCCTGTGACAGGAGAGACGCTGTTTCCCTGTGACAGGAGAATGTTTCCTGTGACAAGAGAGACGATGTTTCCCTGTGACAGGAGAGACGATGTTTCCCTGTGACAGGAGAATGTTTCCTGTGACAGGAGAATGTTTCCTCTGACAGGAGAATGTTTCCTGTGACAGAAGAGATGATGTTTCCCTGTGACAGGCGAGACGATGTTTCCCCGTGACAGGAGAGACGTTGTTTCCCTGTGACAGGCGAGACGATGTTTCCCTTTGACAGGAGAGACGATGTTTCGCTGTAACAGGAGAATGTTTCCTGTGACACAAGAGATGATGTTTCCCTGTGTCAGGAGAATGTTTCCTCTGACAGGAGAATGGTTCCTGTGACAGAAGAGGTGATGTTTCCCTGTGATAGGAGAATGTTTCCTCTGACAGGAGAGATGACGTTTCCCTGTGACAGAGAATGTTTCCTGTGACAGGAGAGATGATGTTTCCCTGTGACAGGAGAATGTTTCCTGTGACAGGAGAATATTTCCTGTGACAGGAGAGACGATGTTTTCCTGTGACAGGAGAGACGATGTTTCCCTGTGACAGGAGAGACAACAGAACAAGGTAATGCTAGTTATAAGACCTTTGATGACAAGATCATATTTATCTTGTCAACAAATCCTCTGCCGTCCATGTTTTAACAATATTTTTGTTTGTTCCAGATGAGTTAAATCAGGAGTTCGGTGACCTGGGCAAGAGTGGGGAGACAACTGTGGTTGTACCTGTTGACTATCCAGGTATAAGACTTTGATATGTCATAATTAACATTGACTGGCTGAGGGATGGATCATAGTCAGGAGGTTGTATCAATTAATCCTCCAGCTGTGGTCGTGTAGAGTCGAGGATCTAAGACGAGGGAATGCACTTCAACAATTCTCAGCTTTTCATCAGTGTATTAACACTTGTATAACGAAGTTGTATTCCCTAGATTTTACTGACTTATAGACACAATAGAAATACTTGTATGATGTATGTGTCAACATGGAAATAAGAACACAGATATGGAACAGAGAACAATGTATTGTTGACGATGATATTCAAGTGCCATAATGACAATAGAATCTTATCTATAGTACAATTACCAAAAAAAAAGAAATCAATGTGCCATGAATAATGCTAAAAGTACAACAGTTTTATAACTTGTGGTTGTGTCATCTTGGTGTTTTGTTTCAATAGATTTGTATCAAGTTTGGTGAATTATTCAGTATACAATTTATTACTCAATTTAAAAGAAAATAATTTCATATTCTTTAGATCAACAATTATGTAATTTCTGATATACAGGTGGGAAAATTACAGAAATTAAAGACCTCTGCTAGCCCCAAATAAACCTGTTGATTCTCCACTGCTTACAGAACCAAATCAAACATGTCCGACAATCTCCACAAAGAGAGCAACGAAAGAGCTGTGATTAGAACTAATTATATAAAGCAATTTTCTGTATTATTCCGATGTTTTTTTTGAGACATTGTGGACTAAGCAAAGATTTTCCATTTCTAAAGTCCTGTCTACTACCTCTTCCTCAAACTTCTCTATGAAACTGTCTCCAATCTGTATTAGCTGATCACCTGGTCCAAAGAACCAAGGTAAGCTGATCCCAAGCCATGCATGGTGTCCTCTGTACCGCTCAATGAAATCTATCCAAGGATTAGGATTAGGATTTAAATTTGTACAAATGGAAGAGCTAACATTTGAGTATGAAGGGACAAACAAATATATGCCAACAGGAATCACTTCTGATTCTGCCCATTAGAACTATATCCCTTGGTCCTAACATTGAAACAATTGTAATCCTCAGCCTATAACAAAATTTGCGATTACTGAGCTTCAAGATTTCATTACACATAGGCAAGTGATACAGGCCCTCTTGGCCTCTTGTTCATTGCAACTTTCAAGTCTTTTTGCTTATAATGATAACTATTGGGTCCAATGTATTGGATGTGACAAATGATTTTGATGCTAGGATTCTAATTAGCATTCAACTAATTTATTTTAATAGAATATATCACTACAGGTTTATATATATAAGTATATATTTTACTGTTGTATATTATGTATAAATTTTACTTTAAAATGACAAAACTTGTGATATACTTTATACATTTCTTAGAAATTGAAATGTTGAAGGCCAAATTCAATTATAATAATAAAATTGTGATATTAATATTTTGTATTGTTTTCGTTATTTTGATTCCTAGTGCCGACTTGGACTGAATATCGATCCCTGCTAAAGTTGGACTCCATTTCAGTCTAACTGAACACAATTGCTACACGTAAGCATATACATGTACTTAGCTTGTTCATCAAGTTGGAGTCTAGTTAAGTATAGTGATGCCAATATTTCTGAAGTTTACAATTGTACACCAATAATGAAATTTTCCTAAGACTGTTTCTCTAAAGATGTCTATAAAAAGGTTCTTAAACCTGCTGGTATGTGCCTCACTGTGATCAGTTTCTGTTAAAGCATGGAATAACACAAATACCATTACCACAACAAAAAAGCAGTTTATTTTAGCTTGCCATCACCGACAATGGTTTTGCGAGTTCTCTTGAGTTTTAGTTAGCCCTCATTACTTCAAGTTTTTAAGAAACACTTAGCTCCAATGTAATGAACAGTGATCTACATTTTCTGATTGTAGTTATGTTGCAAACTCACTTTCATTTAAATTAATATTACCAATTGGAGTAAGTAAGACCTCACAAACAGTACAAGCACTACAGGCAGATTTGAACAAAATTTTGAGCCTTTCATTTTTCCCCAGTTAAATCACCATAGACATTACACTAGCTAGCCATGTGCAGCACAGTCGTATGGTGTTGATTTATAATTAATGTCACCGTAGACATTACAATAGCTAGCCATGTGCAGCACAGTCGTATGGTGTTGATTTATAATTAATGTCACCGTAGACATTACACTAGCTAGCCATGTGCAGCACAGTCGTATGGTGTTGATTTATAATTAATGTCACCGTAGACATTACAATAGCTAGCCATGTGCAGCACAGTCGTATGGTGTTGATTTATAATTAATGTCACCGTAGACATTACACTAGCTAGCCATGTGCAGCACAGTCGTATGGTGTTGATTTATAATTAATGTCACCGTAGACATTACAATAGCTAGCCATGTGCAGCACAGTCGTATGGTGTTGATTTATAATTAATGTCACCGTAGACATTACACTAGCTAGCCATGTGCAGCACAGTCGTATGGTGTTGATTTATAATTAATGTCACCGTAGACATTACAATAGCTAGCCATGTGCAGCACAGTCGTATGGTGTTGATTTATAATTAATGTCACCGTAGACATTACACTAGCTAGCCATGTGCAGCACAGTCGTATGGTGTTGATTTATAATTAATGTCACCGTAGACATTACACTAGCTAGCCATGTGCAGCACAGTCGTATGGTGTTGATTTATAATTAATGTCACCGTAGACATTACACTAGCTAGCCATGTGCAGCACAGTCGTATGGTGTTGATTTATAATTAATGTCACCGTAGACATTACACTAGCTAGCCATGTGCAGCACAGTCGTATGGTGTTGATTTATAATTAATGTCACCGTAGACATTACAATAGCTAGCCATGTGCAGCACAGTCGTATGGTGTTGATTTATAATTAATGTCACCGTAGACATTACACTAGCTAGCCATGTGCAGCACAGTCGTATGGTGTTGATTTATAATTAATGTCACCGTAGACATTACAATAGCTAGCCATGTGCAGCACAGTCGTATGGTGTTGATTTATAATTAATGTCACCGTAGACATTACACTAGCTAGCCATGTGCAGCACAGTCGTATGGTGTTGATTTATAATTAATGTCACCGTAGACATTACAATAGCTAGCCATGTGCAGCACAGTCGTATGGTGTTGATTTATAATTAATGTCACCGTAGACATTACACTAGCTAGCCATGTGCAGCACAGTCGTATGGTGTTGATTTATAATTAATGTCACCGTAGACATTACACTAGCTAGCCATGTGCAGCACAGTCGTATGGTGTTGATTTATAATTAATGTCACCGTAGACATTACAATAGCTAGCCATGTGCAGCACAGTCGTATGGTGTTGATTTATAATTAATGTCACCGTAGACATTACAATAGCTAGCCATGTGCAGCAGTCGTATGGTGTTGATTTATAATTCCACAAGCAACTAGTCCACATCCTTATTCAAGTTAACTTTTGTTCCGATTTATTCAATTCCGAGTTAAAACAAAAACACCAAAAACAAAACAAGAGCTTGTTTTATAGAATTGAGATGTGTTTTATTCAAAAGGGATACATTTAAATTGTTTAAGCACTACATCACATACATACACGGTTGAAAAAAATTCAATGAAGAAATGTGTACGACACCTAATATATGAAAACAATGGGTGGCATAAGTGTTTGTAATGGGTTTGAAAGAGAAAGGGTATCTAGTGTATTGATCAACATATATAACCAGTAGAAACTTACTGGATACTAAACTGCTTTTAATATAGAAGACTGACTGACCTGCAGATTTCAATTTAGCAGCAGCACTACAAAATAGTATAATATTGATTAAATCACATTTCATACATATAAGGTAATTTCCACTTGGTTTCAATTTCATCATTATATTTCAGAACTCTCAAAGTTTAATTTTAATAACCATATTAATCAAATTCGTTATAATATATAAAATGAATGGCAATGCAGGATTCTTAACAATTTGATATCATTATGTTGTGTACATGATGTGCACCTCATATATCCTGCATACCAGGTATAACAAAACAATATTTGTAATACATCAATTTTTATCTAACATGAGCTATTCCATTTAGGATATTTCATAATGTTCAGGCTATTAAGGAAGATAAAATGTTTGAAAATTGATTTTAGAATCTGTAAATAGACAATAAATAAAATATTGTCATGTAAAGTTTGATAGAAATATTGCCATTCTCCGATTGATTCTGTGATGATGTAAAATAACTATGGCACAACTGTTAGCCTGACTGTTGTCTGGAGTCTTTTACACTGGAACATAGTTACTGGGACCTGTGGACGCAAGTCGCTTATTCTAGTTACATTATCACTCCATGGAACTAGTTACATTATTTCTCCATGGAACTAGTTACATTATTTCTCCATGGAACTAGTTACATTATTTCTACGTGGAATAAGTTACATTATTTCTACGTGGAATACGCTACATTATTACTCCATGACATAAGTAACATTATTACTCCATGACATAAGTAACATTATCACTTCATGACATAAGTAACATTATTACTCCATGGAATAAGTTACATTATTTCTCCATGGAACTAGTTACATTATCACTCCATGGAACTAGTTACATTATTTCTACGTGGAATAAGTTACATTATATCTACGTGGAATACGCTACATTATTACTCCATGACATAAGTAACATTATTACTCCATGACATAAGTAACATTATTACTCCATGACATAAGTAACATTATCACTTCATGACATAAGTAACATTATTACTCCATGGAATAAGTAACATTATTACTCCATGGAATAAGTAACATTATAACTAGATCGAATATTTGCCTCTTACAAGTGCAGTCAGAGAAGTCTTCAATGTAAGTCGAACCGTTCTACTGAGAATTCGAAGCTGATGATGTTGGTTGGGTGAAGTAAAGAGCTAACATAGTCCCAAATGTAACCTTTCGACTAGTGTTAATATGATCACCAAGTAGACACATTAGCTTTGCCTAGGACAGCCTCCCTTTTTAAACAAACTACAAAACAAATTGATAATACAGTAAAATACCCTGATAAGTGTCCTTCACAGTATCTAACACCATACAACTGCAATCTAGTGGCTAAGTACTAATGTATAAACATTTTCAAAGGGAATGTTTCAAATTGAAGGAAATTAACATTTACTAATAAAACAACAAAAATACTTAGTGTATCAGTATTGTAGGTAATATTCGGCCTGTACCAAACCAACCTATACGTGATAGTATTGTAGGTAATGTTCGACCTGTACCAGACCAACCTATACATGACAGTATTGTAGGTAATGTTCGGCCTGTACCAGACCAACCTATACATGACAGTATTGTAGGTAATGTTCGGCCTGTACCAACCTATACGTGACAGTATTGTAGGTAATGTTCGGCCTGTACCAACCTATACGTGACAGTATTGTAGGTAATGTTCGGCCTGTACCAACCTATACATGACAGTATTGTAGGTAATGTTCGGCCAGTACCAACACAGATGCTATAGCACATCCTCCCAATCTTGCATGTATATGGTTAGTGTTTCGAAAGTCTCACAATTGCCTTTTTTAAATGACAAATAATATGTTAAATATTTACAAGATAGTTTTGAAAATATGAAAGGCTCCTTCAAGGAGCTGTAAGCTATGATAAAAAACTTATACCAAATGTGTCGTACTAGAAAACTACGTAACATCAACTACTGGTATTCAAAACGGCTAGGAACAATGCTAGAATATATTAATAATAAAAAGTGTAGACATCAATTAATTTGCATGTGATAATACGACAGATTGTCCCTAGACTGTAACACATAGACAACACAGGTTGGCTTATTTTGGTGGCCAGCTATATTTTGGTGTGAATTAACAAAGAGATACAGGATCCTATTTAGTATATGTTCGGCAGTGCCAACAGCTTCCTATAACTGTCTTACAACAATACACCAAATCACAATTTCCAAAGAATTTAAAAATAAAGAAATAGGTCATTTAGATTTTAAAGAAGATTTTTTTTTAATAAAATATTGCTAAATGATCCTTGCCTTTGGGTGTACATTGTAGACTATCATTCAAAATGTTAGCTATTTTACATACATTATCTATTTTTATTTTTTTCATAACTTCTACTTTTGATAACTAAGCTGTGAAATGGAAAAAAAAATTGTTTGAAGAGAAGAAAAAAATGCAACTACCCTCCATTTTGGAAAACTTCTATGAAAACTGAGTACAGGACTAAATAGGAGAACTGCATAAGATTAGTAGCTCAAGTAAACAGACAGTTGAGATCAGTGGGGAAGTATGACCCGATGATTGAGGACATGGTTAAACATAAAGTTCATTTACCTGTCACCTAGCTTGTAATACAGTATATCCTAGTCACTACCAATAATACCACTGCTGACCAACGTAAAGGCCCGGTCAACAGTATATCCTGGTCACTACCAACACTACCACTGCTGACCTCGTAAAGGCCCGGTCAACAGGATATCCTGGTCACTACTAACAATACCACTGCTGACCGACCTAAAGGCCCGGTCAACAGTATATCCTGGTCACTACCAGCACTACCACTGCTGACCGACGTAAAGGCCCAGTCAACAGTATATCCTGGTCACTACCAACCCTACCACTGCTGACCGACGCAAAGGGCCGGTCAACAGTATATCCTGGTCACTACCAGCACTACCACTGCTGACCGACGTAAAGGCCCCGTCAACAGTATATCCTGGTCACTACTAACAATACTACTGCTGACCGACCTAAAGGCCCGGTCAACAGGATATCCTGGTCACTACTAACAATACCACTGCTGACCGACCTAAAGGCCCGGTCAACAGTATATCCTGGTCACCACCAACACTACCACTGCTGACCGACGTAAAGGCCCATTCAACAGTATATCCTGGTCACTACCAACAAAACCACTGCTGACCGACGTAAAGGCCCGATCAACAGTATATCCTGGTCACTACCAACAATACCACTGCTGACCGACGTAAAGGCCCAGTCAACAGTATATCCTGGTCACTACCAACCCTACCACTGCTGACCGACGCAAAGGGCCGGTCAACAGTATATCCTGGTCACTACCAACAAAACCACTGCTGACCGACGTAAAGGCCCGGTCAACAGTATATCCTGGTCACCACCAACACTACCACTGCTGACCGACGTAAAGGCCCGGTCAACAGGAACATTCAAAAGTTGGTTTACTCTATTATCTTCCATTACTCTTTGTTCTCACATGGTGGCTGTCACACAAGCCCAGAAAATGGCATGTTTGTAAAAGATCATCACCTGAGAATGGTGGGAGTGTACCACGCATCATTCTGTAGCCATTCAGGAGCCACAAGTGGCAACACAATGACAAGTGACAAAAAACAAATCATATCAGCAAAATGCCTCGTGTAACAACAACAAAATATGGAAAAAATGACAGAATAATGTATTATGGTAATAATATCAAAATATCTTCATGACACAATAACATGTCAGCACTTTGTAGACATCCAACTCTCTTAGGGAAGAAATGCATCAAATGTTTGTGAATACAAACCAATCTCATTTCAGTGCAAGAGATAGTTGTACTCCACAGCGTGTGTTGTAGAAGATAAGCATATTTAAAAAACGCTCAATTATCTCTTTTGGGAAAAAAAGTTTATTTTTAGAGAAAAAAACAGTAAAATCATTTTAGTACTAAAAAGCAAAATATCCTAAAAGTTATAATAATGAACAAATAGGTTGAGAGTAAGAGACTTGTTAAATGTTCACAAACAGCATGTGCTTGCCAGCTTTATGTACTAACCATCTACATATCCTAACCTAATGTCTACAATAGTTTGCATAAACTATCTTCGTGACTTAAAAATAAGAGGCCCATGTGGCCTAAAATGCTCACCTGCCTCTATTTCAAACATAAAAATGTTTCCCCTGATTTCAGGCCATGGTGGCCATTTCATATTTCTTCATTGAGCCGAATAATAACAGAAACACTAGTATCAATTTTCAACACATTTGACCTCTGTGACCTTGTGGGATCTGTACCCCCTATTACACTTACAGGCCAAATTTGCACATTTTACCAATGTGATGTTGAATGTACTCAGCAAGCTACAGGCCAATATAAATACTCTAGGCCTCTTTATTTATAAATATTTGTCAAGGTCATTTATTTGAAATTGTAACTCCAGGCTGAAGTTAATTCTGTTGGTCTCCTGGTTAATTACAAGAAACTGACTGATGATATTAATATATCTGACCCGTGTGACCTTGAACATAAGTCAAGGTCATTAAAAACAACAACATGTGAAATGTTATGACATTAGGCCTTATTTTCTTTAAGAGGAAGTTGTTTCAAGTAAAAATCTGCCACACCATGACAAGCTCGCAGGCACTTTGTACCAAGAGAGCTGTAAATTGATGGATAGTGAACTGCATAATTTGAGTTTAGCCATTTTGATTGACACTTTACAGCATGGCTCAAGTAATCATATGACAACCATGGGCAGAGTTAGACCTACTTGACATATAAAAATATATCTACAAACCAACCCTCCTTACACTGACACTGGCACACACACACTGAAATTAACATCGGCTCTGTTTGAAGATTATGTCCAAACTTCCAATTCTTGGAAACGTTTAAGTACTTTTCTCTCAGATGAAACCATAAACTCTGCCAACAAATCACTGTTAGTGTCCACTGTTTTAGTATTGAAGTGTCCACTGTTTTAGTATTGAAGTGTCCACTGTTTTAGTATTGAAGTGTCCACTGTTTTATGTACTATGAGCCAAGAGCTATTTTAAAGGTGAGAAAAATGAGGCTGGCTTATGTACATCACGAATAGACCATCTTATGAAGCTTGAGACTGATTGTTTCTGACATGATCAATACTGCATACTGATGAACCTACCTATAATCTACAAAAATAGGAATATGGGGGGAGGGAGGGGTAAAAGCAAGTGCTCGAGGAATGGGTGGGGAAATGTGGAGTTGCCTGGGAGGTGCTTAAAATTGCATATTTCAAAGGTAAGGACGGGGGAGGGTGTATACAAAGATGAAGTATGATCAAGATATCGAAGGAATGAGCAAACTGGAGTGACATATCTGCAGGTTCAAAGTCTTAAATGAACAAACAATGGGAATATCATCAACCCAGGGTTACCTAAAATGTCACTTCTTTGAGGAGAAAAAAGTGATCATACAGACAAGCTTACACACACTGGAAATAACAAATGTATCTATATCATAAAATAGTGTATAACAGTTTGGTTCAAAACTAAATGATTTCAAAATATATACAATTTTAAGAATGAAATACATCCATATTCAGCAAAAAGGTTTGGTATACATCTACATATGCCCATTATAGATAAATATGGTAAAATGTAAATGAATATGCACAAATATATATGTAAACTACAGGACATGTAGAAGTGATAAGCCACTGCCCTGCTGTTTAATCATTAGGTTTACAACAGATCAAAACCCTAATAACTTGTATGACAGAAGAAAAAGGGATTGGTATGATCTATATAAATAAACTGTGGTGTTTCTTCTCTGATTGATATAATTGGTTACCACCAAAATACACAGCTAAGTAGCTGTGGGTGGGGGATTGAATGACAGGGAAGGGGAAATCTTATTAAAATTGGCAAAACATCATAATCAATATTGCACATATCATCAATAACTGAAAAAAGGGACTTATATATATCGCAATGCATTCAACATTCAAAACCAGTATTTAAATGATCTAGAAGTGCTGATTTCCCCCACATTAGACATACTCACATTCTCTCCTATAAACACATGAGATTACTTAGTAAAGCCATTTACATGTAATAACAATATCATACTAATGATACAAGAGTTATATTTTGCATTTGATAATAATTATAATAAAAGTCAATAAGAAAAATTAATAATTCTGGTTATGTACTCTGTAACAATTTATCCATAGAGTGTAATAAAAAGACTAAAGCTCTACGATCACCCTTAGACGAGTCACACATTCGTTTCGTAATACTCTTCTACATATTCACTAAATTTATGTATTTTTTCTTTAAAAAATGCCTTCAAAGACAATTTCATGTAATAGATAATCATGCGTTGTTGTTTTAATAATATTTCTAATTTCCAATCCCAAATTTGAGATAAAAATTTCACAAGCACAAAATCTATTTTTATGCTCCTATACATTAATTATATAAAGACAGTAGATCTTAAAGTACTCATTCAACATTATCAAAAAAGATTTTTTTTAAGATATCAGCCCAATTTACATAGAATAATTACTACCTGATGCTGGTGACAAAAAATTGTATTATTAGTAAAGTAACCATTGTGTGCTGACCATGACGAGTGCTTGTCGGCTACACAGGTATGTGTGTTGTTATCCCTAGTACAGAACAGACAAGTGTCAGCCTATACATACACTCCAATGAGAGAGAAATAATGTGTAGCAACAGGTCCTCCCTCCAACGCTCCACCCGCAGGCCACATAAATGCATGGCAGCAGTAGGCCATAGGGCTAGGCGGCCCCCCGAGAACAATATGACCAGCTGGAAATATAAATCTCAAGTGTCAGAATGAGCAAAAACAAGCCCTAAGGCTCCGTCCCTCTGCTTCTGGCAACACTGCGGTCCCCCCTACCACTGTAAGGCGGGTAACCACTGCTACCTATTTGTTGGGTGCGGAAGGACTTCCTGACCGATGGAAGTGAACATTCTGCCACTTATTATCCTTACGCTGCCAGACCCGGGTTTCCTCAGCTTGTGTGGTCACAGGTAGACCATTTCTGCAGGTAGGAACAGAGTTTATAACTAGTGGTAGCTTGTGATCAACTTATATCATGAAAAAATATACAACAGACACAGAAAACAAGAAACTTTACTCTTCTCCCTTATGATTGTCTGTATCAGCAAATGTTACAAATGTTTTAACCAATATTGTGAGGACTTCCTCAAATCCAGCAAAGTTCTGCCAGTCTTACATAACCTTGCTTACCTATCTTTGTACTTGGGCAACCTGAGATAAAATATGCTTACCTATGTCCTGTGTCTGTCTGACATAAGACAAGCTTACCTATTTACTATGTCAGCCTGACAAAATATATGCTTACCTGTCTATGTACTATGTAAGCCTGATATAAGACAAGCTTACCTATGTACTATGTGAGCCTGACATAAGACAAGCTTACCTATTTACTGTGTGAGCCTGACATAAGACAAGCTTACCTTTGTCCTGTGTCAGTCTGACATAAGACAAGCTTACCTATGTACTATGTCAGTCTGACATAAGACAAGCTTACCTATGTAGTGTGTCAGTCTGACATAAGACAAGCTTACCTATGAACTGTGTGAGCCTGACATAAGACAAGCTTACCTATGTACTATGTCAGTCTGAAATAAGACAAGCTTACCTATGTACTGTGTGAGCCTGACATATGACAAGCTTACCTATGTACTGTGTGAGCCTGACATATGACAAGCTTACCTATGTACTGTGTGAGCCTGACATATGACAAGCTTACCTATGTACTGTGTTAGCCTGACATAAGACAAGCTTACCTATGTACTGTGTCAGTCTGACGTAAGAAATGCTTACCTATGTACTAAGTCAGCCTGACATAAGACAAGATTACCTATGTACTATGTCAGCCTGACGTAAGACAAGCTTACCTATGTCCTGTGTCAGTCTGACATAAGACAAGCTTACCTATGTACTGTGTCAGCCTGACATAAGACAAGCTTACCTATGTACTATGTCAGCCTGACATAAGACATGCTTACCTATGTACTGTGTCAGCCTAACATAAGACAAGCTTACCTATGTACTGTGTCAGTCTGACATAAGACAAGCTTACCTATGTACTGTGTCAGCCTGACATAAGACAAGCTTACCTATGTACTGTGTCAGCCTGACATAAGACAAGCTTACCTATGTACTGTGTCAGCCTGACATAAGACAAGCTTACCTATGTACTGTGTCAGCCTGACATAAGACAAGCTTACCTATGTACTGTGTCAGCCTGACATAAGACAAGCTTACCTATGTACTGTGTCAGCCTGACATAAGACAAGCTTACCTATGTACTGTGTCAGCCTGACATAAGACATGCTTACCTATGTACTATGTCAGCTTGACATAAGACAAGCTGACCTATGTACTTTGTCTGTCTGACATAAGACAAGCTTACCTATGTACTATGTCAGCCTGACATAAGACATGCTTACCTATGTACCGTGTCAGCCTAACATAAGACATGCTTACCTATGTACTATGTCAGCCTGACATAAGACAAGCTTACCTATGTACTGTGTCAGCCTGACATAAGACAAGCTTACCTATGTACTGTGTCAGCCTGACATAAGACAAGCTTACCTATGTACTGTGTCAGCCTGACATAAGACAAGCTTACCTATGTACTATGTCAGCCTGACATAAGACATGCTTACCTATGTACTGTGTCAGCCTAACATAAGACATGCTTACCTATGTACTATGTCAGCCTGACATAAGACAAGCTTACCTATGTACTGTGTCAGCCTGACATAAGACAAGCTTACCTATGTACTATGTCAGCCTGACATAAGACATGCTTACCTATGTACTATGTCAGCCTGACATAAGACAAGCTTACCTATGTACTGTGTCAGCCTGACATAAGACAAGCTTACCTATGTACTATGTCAGCCTGACATAAGACATGCTTACCTATGTACTGTGTCAGCCTAACATAAGACATGCTTACCTATGTACTATGTCAGCCTGACATAAGACAAGCTTACCTATGTACTGTGTCAGCCTGACATAAGACAAGCTTACCTATGTACTATGTCAGCCTGACATAAGACATGCTTACCTATGTACTGTGTCAGCCTAACATAAGACATGCTTACCTATGTACTATGTCAGCCTGACATAAGACAAGCTTACCTATGTACTGTGTCAGCCTGACATAAGACAAGCTTACCTATGTACTATGTCAGCCTGACATAAGACATGCTTACCTATGTACCGTGTCAGCCTAACATAAGACATGCTTACCTATGTACTATGTCAGCCTGACATAAGACAAGCTTACCTATGTACTGTGTCAGCCTGACATAAGACAAGCTTACCTATGTACTATGTCAGCCTGACATAAGACATGCTTACCTATGTACCGTGTCAGCCTAACATAAGACATGCTTACCTATGTACTATGTCAGCCTGACATAAGACAAGCTTACCTATGTACTGTGTCAGCCTGACATAAGACAAGCTTACCTATGTACTATGTCAGCCTGACATAAGACATGCTTACCTATGTACTGTGTCAGCCTAACATAAGACATGCTTACCTATGTACTATGTCAGCCTGACATAAGACAAGCTTACCTATGTACTGTGTCAGCCTGACATAAGACAAGCTTACCTATGTACTATGTCAGCCTGACATAAGACATGCTTACCTATGTACTGTGTCAGCCTAACATAAGACATGCTTACCTATGTACTATGTCAGCCTGACATAAGACAAGCTTACCTATGTACTGTGTCAGCCTGACATAAGACAAGCTTACCTATGTACTATGTCAGCCTGACATAAGACATGCTTACCTATGTACTATGTCAGCCTGACATAAGACAAGCTTACCTATGTACTGTGTCAGCCTGACATAAGACAAGCTTACCTATGTACTATGTCAGCCTGACATAAGACATGCTTACCTATGTACTGTGTCAGCCTAACATAAGACAAGCTTACCTATGTACTATGTCAGCCTGACATAAGACATGCTTACCTATGTACCGTGTCAGCCTAACATAAGACATGCTTACCTATGTACTATGTCAGCCTGACATAAGACAAGCTTACCTATGTACTGTGTCAGCCTGACATAAGACAAGCTTACCTATGTACTATGTCAGCCTGACATAAGACATGCTTACCTATGTACTGTGTCAGCCTAACATAAGACAAGCTTACCTATGTACTGTGTCAGTCTGACATAAGACAAGCTTACCTATGTACTGTGTCAGTCTGACATAAGACAAGCTTACCTATGTACTGTGTCAGCCTGACATAAGACAAGCTTACCTATGTCCTGTGTCAGCCTGACATAAGACATGATTACCTATTTACTATGTCAGCTTGACATAAGACAAGCTGACCTATGTACTATGTCAGCCTGACGTAAGACAAGCTTACCTATGTACTATGTCAGCCTGACATAAGACATACTTGTCATGTACTGTATCAGTCTGACATAAGACAAGTTTACCTATGTACTGTGTCAGCCTGACATAAGTCAAACTTACCTATGTACTGTGTGAGCCTGACATATGACAAGCTTACCTATGTACTGTGTGAGCCTGACATATGACAAGCTTACCTATGTACTGTGTGAGCCTGACATAAGACAAGCTTACCTATTAACTGTGTCAGTCTGACATAAGACAAGCTTACCTTTTAACTGTGTCAGTCTGACATAAGACAAGCTTACCTATGTACTGTGTCAGTCTGACATAAGACAAGTTTACCTATGTACTGTGTCAGTCTGACATAAGACAAGTTTACCTACTGTATGTTCTGTGTCTGTCTGACATAATATATGCTTACCTGTCTATGTACTGTGTCAGCCTTACATAAGCTATGCAAGCAGCATCATCTCCCAACAGGTGAACGTGAGGGTTTAATATACTAGTGTTGATCTGCTTATTGTTCTTTGTATGTACTGTAAAACGAAAACAGTTATGAAGCCAACACCTTTATGTCTTTAACACAGTGTCATAACAAAAGACAATAGAAATGTCAGCCATAGGCTAGTTTATACTCCCAAAGCTCTCTTTCAGAATTTCTCACACAAAACTTACATATAACTACGTATTGTACTTATCATGTGTACCAAGATTCATAAATATTGGTCAGGAAAGTAAGGTGAAATTCTTCTGACAAAATGTTAGAAAAGGGAGGTAACTCTTAACAAAACACTACACACTGTATCATACAAATACAAATGGGACGTCATAAGGAAAGTGACCAAGGTAGATAATATATATAATTTTTTCAATAATTGACCATTACTGTGGCTGATATTGAATTGAATATCACTGAACAAAGCAGGTGTATTAATATAATTTATTCTGTATCTCCGTGCATCATATATATAATTTTTAAAAGAAAATTGGTTTTAATTTACCAATTTTAACACATAACTTACCATCAAAATAAAACTTATGGAAATCCATACCAACTATTAGGTTTCCCATGGCTTCGGGTTCAAAACATGTCATATGTGGATCCACGAATTTGCTTTAAAAGAATCAAGTGAACATGAGGCAACATTTGTAGACATGTGTTAAACAGTATGGAACTTTTATACAATATTATAGAGTCCTAGACGAGTGTGAACCCCAGAATCACATTCAATACTTTATTACAATGAAATCATGTGACATGAAATCAATATCATCGTCCAAATGATGCCGTACAAATAAGAATTACATGGATTTAAAAAAAACTCTATGATAAATCTTGGCCATTATATTAATCAACGTTCACATCAATTGAAGTTTGTTCCATGATTTATCAAGATGAGATGCATTTATGTTATCAATGGTTTACGGATGGATTTGTTCAATCAAAATCATATAGGAGGTCATTAAGGCTATATCATATAGGAGGTAATTAAGGCTATATCATATAGGAGGTTATCAAGGTTATATCATATAGGAGGTAATCAAGGATATATCATATAGGAGGTAATCAAGGCTTTATCATATAGGAGGTAATCAAGGCTAAATCATATAGAAGGTAATTAAGGCTATATCATATAGGAGGTAATTAAGGCTATATCATATGGGAGGTAATCAAGGCTATATCATATAGGAGGTACTTAAGGCTATATCATATAGGAGGTAATTAAGGCTATATCATATAGGAGGTAATCAAGGCTATATCATATAGGAGGTAATCAAGGCTATATCATATAGGAGGTAATCAAGGTTATATCATATAGGAGGTAATCAAAGTTATATCATATAGGAGGTAATCAAGTCTATATCATATAGGAGGTAATCAAGGCTTTATCATATAGAAGGTAATTAAGGCTATATCATATAGGAGGTAATCAAGGCTATATCATATAGGAGATAATCAAGGCTATATCATATAGGAGGTAATTAAGGCCTTAACATATAGGAGGTAATCAAGGCTATGTGAAGGGAGGAGGGGTTACAGAAGATACCTACGTGTAGGCGTCGTAATCGCCGCTAGTTATTGCTGCTATCAGCTGCTCGGTTAGTTTGATCACATCCTGTTTTCTACCTGTCAATCAGAGAAAACATACAACATAACAAACAGCCCTAACATCTAGTACCGCTGTGCTGAAATCTCCACCACCACTAGCGGTAATTGGTGATGTTCGCTCTTTTATATAATACAATTCTATGTAATGTGAAAGTTGTGCACATGGTAACAGGTTGTTGCTGCCTAAATCATAAACCAGCAATGATTATTAAAGTGACTTTAAATCCAAATCGCAATGTCACCAAGTTTTCTTAAACAATAATTACTCATATCAGGACAAACTAATGATCTTGATATAGTCAATTAATAAGTAAGGGTTTTCCAAAGGCTTTAATATAAAGACACAGCTGTATCAATGAAGTGTTATTTAAGCTTCAAATTTTTTTATACAACTTCATTCTCCTTCATCCTTTCTTTAATAATTTCAACCCTGCTACAGTCTACTGTACTCTAATTTCTTATTTATTGTGTATCTGTGAATGGGCCAACCTTCAGCTTGAAAGTGGTGCTCTAATAAGATTTCATGTTACAAATTCTATTGTGCAGTCTAATCTATCAAACACAAACCTACAGATACATACCCATGTATGGCCACACTCTATACATACAAACCTGTTTATGGTCATACCATATAGTTGTTTATTGTCATGGCCTAAAGATACTTACCCAAGTTACCACACCCTACATATGTTTATTTCAGTATTTCCATACCTTACAGCTGTTTAGTATGACTACACAGTACCCTACAGATGTTTATTTCAGTATTTCCATATCTTACAGGTATTTAGTATGACTACACCCTACAGATGTTTATTTCAGTATTTCCATATCGTACAGGTGTTTAGTATGACTAAACCCTACAGATGTTTACCTGTGTATGGCCACATCCTATAGATGTTTACCTGTGTATGGCCACATCCTATAGATGTTTACCTGTGTATGGCCACATCCTTCAGATGTTAATTTAGTATGGCCACACCCTACAGATGCTTATCCCATTATGGCCTCAGATGCTTGCAAGATGTATATGTTCACATCATAGAGATGTTTTCTTGAGTATGGCCACACCAAAGTCTAACAAACACCAACACACATCTACATTTTCTGTTTTCACTCAACATTTTTCAAAACATTTAAGTGATTTGATGCATCAAACCAGTCAAATGCTAGGATAGTAGAAACCCTACACCCACCAGGTACCATAAGGAGGAGCACTGTTTACCAAAGCCACAAAGCTGTGTAGATCAAACATCAACAATACACAGCAGCAGGACTGAGAACAGGGACAGGGTGGAGGCAGATTTTGTAGCCTGTCCTGGACCTAGAAAAGGGAAAGTCTTGAGGGATATCTTTGAGGTTTGTTCTGGACCCAGAAAAGGGACAGCATTGATGGAGATCTTTGTGGTTTGTCCCAGGGCTAGGACATAGATAGTATTGAGCTAGGGAGATTGTTGTGGCCTGTTCGGGGCCTAGAACAGGAACAGCCTTGTAGCAGATCTTTGTCATCTACCCTTAACTAAAAGCTGGGACAGCCTTGAAGGATATACCTTGGATCAACAACAGGGACAGTGGTGTGGCCTACATTGCCGTCACCATACCTGTAAGCTAGGACATATTGGTATCAAACATACTGCAGAAAGTGAATGCGAAAGAGCAAGATGACACTACTGGGCGCTCAAATATGCAACAAGACTGATGGCAAATAAGAGTAACACTAACAGATCAGGAAGACCCATGTTACGTTTTAGTGATCTTGCTCAGGTATGATCAATAGGAGGAATGAAAGATTAGCCTGATGCCTTCTTTTATGACATTGAAATATCTTCTGAAAGAAAGATGGCCGTGATTTCACCTTGTTTTGTCACTATCCTAGCCTAGTAGTTTAGACGTACAGGATATAGATTTGTAGAACTTGGGTGTCCACACTGTAACAGTATAGAGCTTAGGGTTGTACACGAGGCACAGTGTCGTATCATTTAAACTTTTCAGGATGTAGGTCTGGAGAAGGACAGTATCTTAAGTACAGCATTTACGAAGTACAAAATATTAGCACAAGACACCACACCGGACAACACAGCAGCGGTATGGGGGTGCCACACAAAACGCAGCGCTGGAACAACATCAATTTTGAACCTGTTGTATACTTATTTGATATTTTATGGTGAAACAATAGTTCTGGGGGTTTTCTGGCAAATTGTGAAAAAAAGTTAAGATTTTTTTGGTCAATTTATCTTATCTTCATTAGCATTATATCTTTTATATATACGATAAGTAATGGTACTGTTAACAAGTAGCCATTTTGTCTTTTTTAGTTTTAATAAACACGAAACATACAGGGTCACTTTGGTTAGATAACACATGAGTCTATCACGGAGTCTAAAAGCAATCAGGTTGTTTTTAATATCAAATCATGCTTACATCTACAATTAAGATCACATATACAACACCAACATAAATAAACATACATTTCAGTTTCCAATAGGTGATAACTAACTCCCAGGAAAGGGCTTCAGTTGTGCCTACCCAACCAAGTCATACAAACCGGGAAAGTCATGTTACATAGAGGACAGTTTAAAGACATAAAACAGTATCACCAAGGGACAGTCCACAAACATAAAACAGTATCACCCAGGGACAGTCCACAAACATAAACAAGAGGCCCAAGAGCCAAGAGGCTCACCTGAATATTTAAGCAGTCGTAGCAAAATATTCTCATTAAATATTATATTGCACTAAAAATATTTCCCTCACAAACTTTGTTGGCTCCATCTGTTGAAACTACCAGCAAAATATTATTACAAGATTCTATGCTTTTTGATTCTTCAGAAGTTGCTTGACATATTTTTCCCTGTGACCTTGTAAGTAGGTCAATGTCATTTTCCTTCTCAAATTGGTAAGCTCTATTCCAAAAGCTACCAGCCAAATCTTATGAATCCATTCCTTTTAGTTCTTAAGAACAAATCCATTCAAATGTTAACGACCTCTGTGACCTTAAAAGTAGGTCAAGGTCACTTTCATTCTCAAACTTTGTTGGGCTCTTTCCTAGGAAGCTACAAGCCAAATATAAAGATTCTATACCTTTCAGTTGTTCAGAAGAAGTCGTTTGAAGTGTCTGACACATTTGACCCCTGTAACCTTGAAAGAAGGTCAAGGTCATTTTCTTCCTCAAACTTTGCCGGGCTCTTTCCCAGGAAGCCATCAATCAAATATAAAGATTCTATACCTCTCAATTCTTCAGAAGAATTAATTTGAAATTTTGACACATTTGACCCCTGTGACCTTGAAAGTAGGTCAAACTAATTTTCATTCGCAAGCTTTGTTGGGCTCTATCCCAGGAAGCCACCAGCCAAATATAAAGATTCTATACCTTTCAGTTGTTCAGAAGAAGTCGTTTGAAGTGTCTGACACATTTGACCCCTGTAACCTTGAAAGAAGGTCAAGGTCATTTTCTTCCTCAAACTTTGCCGGGCTCTTTCCCAGGAAGCCATCAATCTAATATAAAGATTCTATACCTCTCAATTCTTCAGAAGAATTAATTTGAAATTTTGACGCATTTGACCCCTGTGACCTTGAAAGTAGAACAAGGTAATTTTCATTCTAACACTTTGTTGGGCTCCATCCCAGGAACCAATCAGCCAAATATGAAGATTCTATACCTTTTAGTTCTTCGGTAGAAGTCGTTTGAAGTTTTTGACATATTTGACCCCTGTGACCTTTAAAGTAGGTCAAAGTCATTTTCGCTCTCAAACTTTGTAGGGCTCCTACCAACAAAGCTTTCAGACAAATATCATGACTCTAGGCCTATCCGTTCTTCAGAGGAAGTTGTTTAAAGGAAAAGTTGACGGACGAGGACGGACGGGCGGACGACGGACGCCGCACCACGGCATAAGCTCACTTGCCCTTCGGGCAGGTGAGCTAAAAAGCATCACCTAGGGACAGTCCACAAACATAAAACAGTATCACCCAGGGACAGTCCATAAACATAAAACAGTATCACCCAGGGACAGTCCACAAACATAAAACAGTATCACCTAAGGACAGCCCACAAACATAAAACAGTATCACCCAGGGACAGTCTAGACATAAAATAGTATCACCCAGGGACAGTTCACAAACATAAAATGGTATCACCCAGGGACAGTCCACAAACATAAAATGGTATCACCCAGGGACAGTCCACAAACATCAAACAGTACCACCTAGGGACAGTCCACAAACATGAAATGGTATCACCCGGGGACAGTCCACAAACATAAAACAGTATCCCCTAGGGACAGTCCACAAACATGAAATGGTATCACCCGGGGACAGTCCACAAACATAAAACAGTATCACCCAGGGGCAGTCCACAGACATAAAATGGTATCACCCAGGGACAGCCCACAAACATAAAACAGTATCACCCAGGGACAGTCCATAAACATAAAACAGTATCACCCAGGGACAGTCCGCAAACATAAAACAGTATCACCTAAGGACAGCCCGCAAACATAAAACAGTATCACCCAGGGACAGTCTAGACATAAAATGGTATCACCCAGGGACAGTTCACAAACATAAACTGGTATCACCCAGGGACAGTCCACAAACATAAAATAGTATCACCCAGGGACAGTCCCCAAACATCAAACAGTATCCCCTAGGGACAGTCCACAAACATGAAATGGTATCACCCGGGGACAGTCCACAAACATAAAACAGTATCACCTAGGCACAGTCCACAAACATCAAACAGTATCACCTAGGCACAGTCCACAAACATCAAACAGTATCACCTAGGGACAGTCCACAAACATCAAACAGTATCCCCCAGGGACAGTCCACAAACATCAAACAGTATCACCTAGGCACAGTCCACAAACATAAAACAGTATCACCTAGGCACAGTCCACAAACATAAAACAGTATCACCGAGGGACAGTCCACAAACATAAAACAGTATCACCCAGGGACAGTCCACAGACATAAAATGGTATCACCCAGGGACAGTCCACAGACATAAAATGGTATCACTCAGAGACAGTCTATATATACAGACATAAAATGGTATCACCCAGGGACAGTTCACAGACATAAAATGGTATCACCCAGAGACAGTGGACAGACCTCAAATCACTTAGGGAGAGTCCACAGTCATAACAATCTACAGTTGTATGATCAACAAGCTCTCTTCAGATTCTCACCCCAAGAGAGTTTACGGACAGTCTATTCACCCAGAAAACAGTCTACAGATACAAAGCTGTATCACCAAGGAACAGTGTACAAGCACAAAATCATAGCACCAAGGGACATTGTACAGAAAGGAAAAAAATACAACACAAAAATCAAACACGAATCACAACAATTAGAAATCTATTGGAAAATCTATATGAAATCTTATTTGAGGTGAAATGGTCACCAAACTTTCAGACGGCTAAAGGGCAAAAGGGACATGCCAAAATGCAATCTGAAAGTAAGATTGCTAATATTCTAGGTTGGTTAAGGATATGGTTTGCTAGTGGATTTGGATACTCAACTAAAAACACTTTTTGTTTGAATTGAAAATATGGAGGGGAAGTGTGCCAAACAAAACGCTGCTACTTACACGGCGTTTTTTGAGGATCAGTAGAGGACTCATTAATCTGCAATTCTGTCAAAGTGATGCCCCCTGTCAAAGTGATGCCCCCTGAAGTGATGACGTGACAAATGAAATCTTGAACATATCAAAGTTATCACAAAAACTGACCAACCATGGCCAACTAGAAAGCTGGCCAGCTCAAAGGAAATGGTCGCGTAAAGAGAAACATACCTGCATTCTGAAAAAAGTCATTCTGACAGCCTTGCAATGGACAATTACCATTGTTAGCTTTTTCCTTTTGACTAGGCCAGCAGAAAGAATCTCAAGAAAACTATATGCATCTTATCAATTTCATTACAAACTTTCTATCGCATTTCTTTCTAAATATATGAAGATAAAGATTAAAACTGCACAAAGAAATAGCTTTATCATCCTCTTTTTAAATATATTCATATTTAGTATAGGTTTCATAAATATCTGCATAATAATTCAAATACTTTCTGTAAACTTTCTTATTGAAATTCAATACTTTTCATAATTATTTTCATCATAGTTTGAAACAGACAATTTGTTTGTTACCAAATGATTGGAAACAATTTGGAAAACAACTCTACACACAAAACACAGTACATACACAACAGGTGACAGTTGAGAAACACCCACAGACAAGCCATATAAAGAGTGTAGCTCTACTGATACCATGCATCAACACAGATATTACATTGCTCTACAACACACAAATCTACAGTACCAGGTTTAATTTTGTGAAGACTTTTTATTTATTGTTTAGATGTGTAAACATTACCACGGTAAAAGAATTAATCATCGCCTTGCACACATCTTCAGGCATTTATCTTTCGATATCTGAAAGTTATAGGTCAACATGTTGTAACCTTGACATCGAAAGTAATTGCCTGAAGATTGCCGCAAGGCTAGCAATATATATCGTAACCAATCAATGAAGATGGGAGATCTTGGCAATAAAACTTTCAGTTATTCACTTACTTTTGTTGTAATACATTTATATTTCCACTATGAAAGCAATTGGATCAGTGTCATTTTGACACTTAACTTCCCATCTCACCTTACAGCAGACCATCATAAGAAGCAAACATTTAGATGTTGTAAGGTTTTCCCAGGGATATTTTTGCTCTAAAGTTACAGAAACTTTCATATAAACAAGAGGCCCATGGGCCTTAACGGTCACCTGAGTCTTACAGTATTTATTTTTGTTGTTGAAATATGTACCAATTTGAGAAAAAAAAATGTTAAGTATAACGTTAACTTAAGTTTGTCAGGACCATGAGCTGATCATTCCTAGACCGATTTTCAAAATAGCGGCCATGGCAGCCAAATTGTATTTCTGATCAACCCGAAAAATAACAAAACTTTGTCAGAACCAGGAGTCGATCGATCATTCCTACAAAGTTTCAGTTCAATCGGCCAAGTAGAACATGACTTGAAATGGTGGCCATTGTGGCCATGTTGGATTTCTGATTGACACGAAAAATAACAATACTTTGTCAGGACCATGAGTCAATCATTCCTACAAAGTTTCAGTTCAATCAGCCAAGCAGAACTTGACTTTAAGTTTGAAATAGTTTGTCAAAATGGTGGCCTTGGCGGCCATATTGGATTTCTGATCGACTCGAAAAATAACAACAATTGGTCAGGGAGATGTCAGCAACCTTCCCATGAAATATTAATGAAATCCCTTTGCCAGAATTTCAGCTTAAGTTGAAAATGTAAAATGTTAACAGACGACGGAATATGGACGACGGACGAAGAGGGATAGCAATAATTTTAGCTCAAGTGACCTAAAAATATTTGTGAAAACTTATAATTAGAAGATCACTAGTAACTATAAATGGCGTATTGAATAAAATTAGATTCCTATATAAGGGTAAAGAGATGGCCTCCTTGCTCTAACTTCTCATGTTCAATGAAAATTTAACCCTTGTCCATTTTGGCATATTTATTTGGATAGAATTCTCCCTAAGCTTATTCAGATTATCAGAGATAGTCCAAACCTTTTGGTAAATGATAATTTTTCTTTCTTAAAAAAGTCAAACCACTATTGTTTAATTTTTGCCTGACGCAGTATTGCAACCAAAGGTGTCCCATGGGTAACCATTCCTAATTCTCTTCTATATAATACTAGTAATTTACAAGTCCGATACACAGAATAATTGAACAGACAAAATTATTCCTCTTTATTCACAATTTGATAGGAATTTTCTGATATCTCTAGCAGGTGGTGAAAATTGAAAATTAATATCAGATATGATTTGTACACAGTAGAACATGTTTTTTTGTAAAATCTGGTCGATTCATTATTCAATCTTTTATTCATTCTGGTACCATACCTTTCACTGACAGTGTGACAAAACTCGAGGACATGAAAACAACACGACATGAAATCTGGACAACACAACATGAGGCTAACCACACTCAGTTTTGCTTTATCTAATATATAGGATTTTCTTTCCATTAGCTGCTTCCTTCTAAAAATAATTTTATCTTAAAATACAGAAGTAGACTTATAGGAGCATTGCTTATAATTGTCCTGCCATTATGAAGTTGTGGTGTAGCCCAACCTTATGTCAGGTGAAATATTGTACACACTAATGTTATAATACACAGGCAGGCGTTCCATGACAGTATAATACACAGGCAGGCGTTCCATGACAGTGCTGATTTTAAAACACTCATGCATCTAGTGCTTCTATGGGTTTGGTAAGGTTCAACAGAACTTCACTGTGTTATTTATTCTTCATCGAAATAAAAAAAATCTCTTTTTTTTTCTTATTCCCCACCCCCCTCTCAATTTTTCCATCACAGTTTTTAATAAATCACTTGTACATGAATTGATTTTTGATAAGATCATTATAAATGAAAAGTGGAATTTTCATATTAAAAACACAAATCGCAACGCGCAGAGTTTTGTGTTAATTAAAATTTCAATAACTTTTTTTATCAAAAGACACCATCCAACTTAATCACTTTATCCTTAAGTGACAGTAAATGACGTCCTCAGCCATTGACAGGGGACAGAGCTAGCAACTGTGGTACACAGACTCGGGTGGTACGGGGAGGGGATTGCCACATTAAAACAAGGAATATTCAAAGGCTATAATACAATTGGTGACAGAATTGCTAACAGATGATAAAAACATTTTCTACTGAGAAGTCAGTGATTCGAAAAGGAGGGGTCAGAGAGTCAAAAGATTGATCACAAATGGGAACCCAAGGGGCATCATCCGTCAACAAGAAAAGAGGACAAATCAATAACTTGAATAATACTCTTGGTAGGTGCTAAAAAGAAGAGAGCTAGCACATGAAATCATATTGTGAAATTGACACAACATTCGCTGCACACAGTAAACTGGTTAATAGGACAGAACAAAAAATAAGTTGAGAACAGCTCTGGTAGGTCATGTAATGCATGTGTTATCATTTTCCATTAAATATACAGTCGTTATAATGGAACATGCACAAGCCATATACAACAGTTGTTATATATGTGGTGTATAGGTACCAATCAGTGTGCTGACATTGGCATGACCAGAAACAAAACAAAAGATCACTTATTAAACTCCAACATTTCAAGTCTGACAAGAACTCATCGTTTCTGTTCTGTTTTTCACCATTGGTCACTTCTTACAATAGTTGACTGGACGATGCTGGGTAGTGACCGGTACCCAGTACTGGCCAGAGTGATGGTGAGTACAGTGACAGCTAAACAGTACCTAAATATCACAGTAAACACGCAAGGTGCCATATCAAGCAGCCATATACTCACTGTCCATATCGCTTTTTCCTACTTGGGGAGATTGCAGGCAAAAGTAGACAACAAACAGGTATAATACTTTTTGTCAGGTCTAATATCTTTGTATGCTTCCTTTCTGTATTTGGAAATTCTTGTGTTCGTGTTATTCATGAGTATTTGCTAATCATTCATTATCACCATTTGAAACCCAAACTTTGGTAAGTATCTTAGATCTTAACAAAGTTGACACCTTCCATAATAATATATCTAGTGGAACATATATAATATGTACTAATATTGGTTTACAAAAGCAAATCTCGAAAGGGAAATAATTTATTGTCCTGTTTGATTTTTTAATCAACCTTATCACAACACTATCAAACCAGTAGGATTTTTCTTCACTTTACGTTATCATACAGCAATCAACCCTGTGATAATTATTTTCTTCACCTGAATTTACCACAACGCTATCAACCCTGTGAGAATTATTTTCTTCACCTGAATTTACCACAACGCTATCAACCCTGTGACAATTCTTTTCTTCACCTGAATTTACCACAACGGTATCAACCCTGTGAGAATTATTTTCTTCACCTGTACCACAACGCTATCAACCCTGTGAGAATTATTTTCTTCACCTGAATTTACCACAACGCTATCAACCCTGTGCCAATTCTTTTCTTCACCTGAATTTACCACAACGTTATCAACCCTTTGACAATTCTTTTCTTAACCTGAATTTACCACAACGCTATCAACCCTTTGACAATTCTTTTCTTCACCAGAATTTACCACAACGCTATCAACCCTGTGATAATTATTTTCTTCACCTGAATTTACCACAACGCTATCAATCCTGTGAGAATTATTTTCTTCACCTGAATTTACCACAACGCTATCATCTCTGTGACAATTCTTTTCTTCACCTGAATTTACCACAACGCTATCAACCCTGTGACATTTCTTTTCTTCACCTGAATTTACCATAACACGATCTAACCTGTTAGAATTGTTTTCTTCACTAGACCTCACCACACAGCCATCAAACCTGTTTGAATAGCTTTCTGGCCTGAAACACTGGTTTCTCTCTTGATATTTCAACTAAATTCATATATCAAACAAATGACTTGTGTTTGCAATTGCACACCTAAAGTAAGGCAAAATATGTCAGCTTTGTTTCAGTGATGCCTTGTACATCTGCTTCCCCATTTAATAATATGTTAAAACAGATATATATATTACCAAGATTACATACCTTTGGTGTCATCAGATTCATCAATAGTGGCCGAACTGTCCGTGGATTCTTTGATTCCATCGTTCTTCTTCGCCATCAGACTACGGCCTGTACAGCAACAATGAGTCAGGTGTTATACAAAGGACACAACATGTAGAGGAATCTCAGGTAGGTAAACAGGATGACAATGTAAATTCAACTTTGCAATATTATATAGCACATCTATGACTACTAACAATAACTCATTTAATCTGGTTTTCTATATCTCCTTGATTATAGCTATCATTGCTATGTTCATGTATTGCGGGAGACTCAATTAGGAAAGAAGTTACGTTAAAAACAATTTAAATTCTCAATTGAAAATTATTATTATATAATAGCTATCAATTGTAAATATTATATTATCTGTTCTACTTCAGTTTAAACTGTATAATTGTTCATGAGGACAATTGGCCTCTCATATTGGCCTGAAGAACGGTTGTCCCTTCGATAAGGATCACCCAAAGCATTTCAACCAGCAATTTAATCAAAACAACATACAAAAGATATAAAAATCATCAAATCTCTAACTACAAAAAATATTTAATCAAAGATGGCAAAGAAAGGGATATAATGAAATGGAAATAATTGAAATATTAAAACAATGAAGTACCCGGTACAATTCTTTTAAACAAATTAACATTAGTTATAAAATGTGTACATTTTTACATATAATGATGGTAAGTTATTACAAGTAGAGGCAACTGTTGTCTAATTAAGTGCATTACAATGATCACACAGCTTCACATGATTATACACACTTCTATAGGGTAACTTGTCTATAAGGTACAGAGGTCACATCTCAGCCACACACGTATGATGAGGATGAGGACCTGACTGATGTCATCATCTCACACAGACAAATTGTTCTCCCACAATTATTTAGTAGGGGAGATAATTCAATCTCCATTTTATATGCATTTACAAAGGGGACACCATTCCCCTGAAAAATAACTTTTGGTTTGTTTGCCCAGTTTTCCTTCTTTAGTTAGATATGACTACAGAGGTTATTTCTAATTAGAAAATGAATGGCATTATATCTTGGTCATAAATACAAAGAACTTTGTGTATTTCTTTGGTAGACCTCTGAACAACTTCAGGAATTGTATGCATAAAAAAGGAGATTACTGTTTAATGTGTCTGTTTGAATGCCCAGTCAGGTCCCCTAGTTATATATAACACAGTACACTATGTTAGTCTATCACAATTCATTACAATAAGAGAACAGCATTCAATAATTAATGATAAGCATAACCTCAATGTCATCAAAAATCTGGTTCACAAGTGTGCTGCCGTGTTATTGATTGTTACACACTTCACACACAAGGGGTCGGGGGTCATTTTGTGGCACTCAGATAATAGTTTTTTCTCAATCAAGTTACTTGTCAATTCTTGTGCAATTTTGAAACCACAACTTCACAAGAAAATGAATTCCTACCACTACTATGGAGTGATAATTATTATGTGTGAAAGTCGAGTTAGGAACCACACAATGTCTAGGTACATAGACACCAGACCGGACATGAGTAGAAACATTAGCTCACCTCATCACAGCCACATCAGTCTGTTGTAATGCAAACTTTACAAACAATTAAAGCTGAAACCACTTAAAGTTGTTATAACATTAGATAGTGAGAGTAGGCTTAACTCTGAATTAGTCATAGCGAGATCACACCCAAACAGTTGTGCAGATTGTGATCAGAACCCTACAAGAGGAGGATGGTGATTGTTGGTATCAAACACCCGACCTTACCCTCAGCCACTGACGATGTACTAGAGTCATTAGAGGAACTAACCACTGGTACCACTTGACCTGAGTCAGCAAAAACAGAAAGCATTAACATGGCCTACCATCAGCTCTGGGCAGGGTAAATCTCACACTGGCACATAAGCAAGCTTAATTACCAACCTACTTCGTTCTCAGCAAATCTTTTTTGTAATAACCAACCTATAGCATTCATACACAACATGTCAGCAAGTAAAAACGTAATGACCAATCTAAATCTTTCACATGTAAGAGACCAGGTCAGGTGATAGCTATTCACAATTTTACCATTCCCATATGCAGATGTAATAAGTTATTAGTGATGAGTGAACAGCTGCAAACACTGGAATTTTTAAGATACTTTGAATTCAGGAGGTCACAAAGGGCAAATATTGGGGTTTAGAAATTATCATATTAGGGAAAGACTTGGGGTTACATCAGATATAAAAGTTATAACAATGGGCAAAAGCTTTTGGTCACAAAGGTTTAAATGATGAAGGCAATTATACAATGGACAATGACAGGACTTGACAATAGAAAAAGACAAATGTGGCCATTGGTTTATTATTAGTTTGCAGCATGTCCCTTCAACAGTTAAAGCCGATTTAAGTAAAAATTGTCAATGACAAAAAAAAATTCAGACATGAAGGATAAAGGATAAAGACTGAAGATCACAAACGACAAAGACAAGACATTAAAGAAGTTAGAAAACACAGGGAACACCATCAAGGACAAAGATTATAGAGGACAAATAAATTCAAGAGGTGCTGACATGTAGACAAATAAAATAAAATATATTGGTGAAAACACTGTACACAAACATTTAAACAATGAGAATTGATTGACAAATAGGGTATATCAGGAAGGCAGTTATGATCAAGGTTTGCAAACAGTACTTCAGAACAGGATTCAGATACAGCTGTTGAATTTAATAACAGCACATACAAATGTGCCAGTTAGTGGGGCTAGCTTGGTAAGGCAACATATGGCCACTCAGTGACCATAACCAAATGTTTACACTAGCCATGGGACAGCAGGTATAGATGGGATAAGCTGGGACCACTCGCATCTCATGGGGATCTCATTCCCTCCTTACCACCGCCCATCATACAACTGGCTATCTTCAAGGCCTCCAGTTGAGGTTGCCCAGGTACAGAAGCAGGAGGACCAGCTGTGCCCATCATACAACTGGCTATCTTCGAGGCCTCAGGTTGAGGTTGCCTGGATACAGAAGCAGGAAGAGGAGCTGTTCGACTTGTTTCTGGTCCTGCTAACACTGCAACTGCTTTGGAGACTTCCTGCTTGGCCTGGCCAGACACCAAAGCTGCCAGGAAGTTTGATGGCTCTTTCTTCGGCTGACCAAACAGAACTGATGCCATTGTTGAGGGCTGCTTATTCACTTCAGGTGTGGTGAATGGAAATGCGGCTGTACCTTTAGATTCACCAGTTAAACCTAATGGACTCTTTGCTCTATCTTTTGTATCAACTGCAGCATCTTTCAATGCCGATGCTTGCTCCATGTGTGGATCTCCAGTTGGGACGGCCTGTTTTCCAGAATCTACTACAAGAGAAGATGCTAGTTTTGCTGCCATGTTGCCATTAGATGCTGCACCGTTGACCTTGGCCGTCGCTGACAATGCTTGACCTGAAGTCCAGGAGACAGAGGTTCTACAGCTTATAGTGAAAACTAATAGTTGATGGAAACACCAGTTTCACATGCATATTAATAATACATGTCATAGATATTGTTGTTTTTTGAGTTCAAACACAACAGACAAAAGTACTTATCTTAAAGCTGACATTTATAGATAACTAATCTCGATCAGCTTCTGATAAGGCAAAGGTCAAAAAATATCAACGGCAGTGTGGACATCACAAAATGAAAATGACAATCAAGTACCTGTTTCATGCAATTTTTCTGTTTTTCGGGACTTGATCACTGTGATGTGTTTTATGATGAAGTAATTTGATAACATCACTCGCTGTAGACCAACACTAGTTACACACATGTAGTTACACATTTTCAGTGGACAAACAACCAAAATCTTACTTATTTACTAGTATGATGATGGACATATTGTAGCTAGAATCTAACCACTAATGGGTTAATACAGTAATGTAGTCTTGCATTTATTTCATGACAAATAATGATTTGCTATGTTAATATTTGTAAAAGAAACAGCATTATTATAAGACAAAAGAGGATGGCCGCATTGGGTGAATATTAATTAGGTGACAGACTAAGACAATACACACATATATATAACTTGTGTTAAGATTAATCAAATATGTGATGAACTTAGCAACAGTACCATAGCAGATAAAATATGTTAGAACTGTTCCACAAAGAACCACATCTTCTACATACTAGAGAAGCAAGGTAGTCAAAGTGTTCCTTGTATGTGATGCTATAGCCAAATGTCAGGCAATATCCCAATGGTTGTGAAACAATGGTTCTTTGATTCTGATGATGGCACTGTAAGAAAACACAATGCACACGTGACCGGTCCTACAGGTGGGCGGCAGGCACAGGCAGGCTCACCCAGTTCTTCATACCTGCGAGCGCAGCAAGCTTTGTGGCAGAGGCACTGGTGGCAGGGGCACTAGTGACACTGTTGCTGGGAGTCGAGCCACCGTTTAAATTGACGGCTGCCGTCAGAGGGTGACCTATGGGTCATACACTAACAAGTTTCACACTCTACCAAAGTCCAGTGAATAAACATTCATCATTTACATGTGTAACACTTCATAGATCACTGCACACCTCCGTAACATCCAGATATTCCTCTTATATATATATATATAAACATAAATACTGTATTTCACTGTTTTACATTTGACCGATGTATTTTATTACACTGACAGTATTTCCACTATATGGGTCAACCGAGTCTTAATTACATTATTTGTAGCCAACCTTGCATGCCGTCATGTTTGAATACGCTAATATGCTAGTATGCAGCTTCATCTGAAATAGCAAACCTTGAAATCAATCCTTGAGACAGCCAAACAGCTAGCCAGGGTACAAACCCACCACCAACCACAGGTCCTTCTCAGGACAATTAAAAAGCAAGATTTCTATGCAGAAACAAAACACCTAGCAATGATAATACCTTATACACTAGTGTATAATAAAAGGAATGTAAGCACAGATAGCATGTTGACCAGGAGACCACCCACATTCTACACCCACCCAGAACCAGACAACACATTCCCACTAGGAACTAGGGAGACCACTTACATTCTACATCCCACCCAGAACCAGACAACACATTCTCACTAGGAACTAGGGAGATAACACATTCTCACTAGGAACTAGGGAGATAACACATTCTCACTAGGAACTAGGGAGACAACCTACATTCTACATCCCAACCAGAACCAGACAACACATTCTCCCTAGGAACTAGGGAGACCATCTCCATTCTACATCCCACCCAGAACCAGACAACACATTCTCCCTAGGAACTAGGGAGACCATCTCCATTCTACATCCCACCCAGAACCAGACAACACATTCCCATAAAAGGAATGTAAGCACAGATAGCATGTTGACCAGGAGACCACCCTCATTCTACACCCACCCAGAACCAGACAACACATTCCCATAAAAGGAATGTAAGCACAGATAGCATGTTGAACAGGAGACCACCCACATTCTACACCCACCCAGAACCAGACAACACATTCTCACTAGGAACTAGGGAGACAACCTACATTCTACATCCCAACCAGAACCAGACAACACATTCTCCCTAGGAACTAGGGAGACCACCTACATTCTACACCCACCTAGAACCAGACAACACATTCCCACTAGGAACTAAGGAGACCACCTACATTCTACCTCCCACCCAGAACCAGACAACACATTCTCCCTAGGAACTAGGGAGACCATCTACATTCTACATCCCACCCAGAACCACCAGACAACACAATCCGACTAGGAACTGGGGAGACCACCTACATTCTACATCCCACCCAGACCCAGATACCACATTCCCACTAGGACTAGGGAGACAACCTACATTCTACACCCACCCTGCACCAGACAACACATTCCCACTAGGAACTAGGGAGCCCACCTACATTCTACACCCACCCAGAACCAGACAACACATTCTCACAAGGAACTAGGGAGACCACCAACATTTTACATCCCACCAAGAACCAGATAACACATTCTCACTAGGAACTAGGGAGACCACCTACATTCTACATCCCACCCAGAACCAG